AGGCCGTTTTACATGAAGGTGATCCTAAAGATCAAACAGGTATTTGTCAAACGCTTTAGCTGTTTACCCTTCTGTTTTTAATCTTTTGCGGATGATTACGTAGTACAGACCCATTTAAAGAAGTTTCTCTTTGAGGTTGTCCTTGACAAATTTTCGATTTCTCCGGCTTACATTTGAAGTGAACTCCAATGCTGTCGTACAGTGACTGTCATTGTTGCCAGTGATGGAAAAATTTTGATCGAAAAATCTCTTGCTGGTTTACTGATACTTAGCTTCCAATTAATCTTAATTTTTTTTTCATTTACGTAGCTATTAGTTTGCTTCGTTTCATTGCGTTCTCAGACGCCAAGTTGTATTTCACCGTTTTCTATTAGTTTTAAATCTCCGGTGTTATTTTCTGGAAACATTTGCTTTCTTTTTGAAAATTAAACTGAATTAATGTTTAGTAATTGAAATCCAAGGAAATGTAATTATTTAATTTTCGTTGTTTTTCTTAAGAAGGGTACGACTGTTTTCAATATTCCTTAGTAGAGAATAAGTAAGAAAATCAGGAATAATAGATTTTAGTAGAATGGTTCAAGTTTAATCTTCCTTCAACTCCAGGTGTTTGTAACGAAAACGTGAAGAAACTTCATTGAAAAAAAGACATCTCCGTCTAGAAACCAAAGCTGTGGAGAAAAATGAGAGCTGTAATTAACATAATTGTGAAACAAGATGTTGCTATGCATACGAAACAATGTTTTTTCGTGGAACCCTGTTCGAAAGCTTCGTTTATGTCATTTGATAACTTGTTTCCGCCACCTCGATATTCTCGCTAAAACTCGTTGTAGAATGACGACGGCTACCACGTTTTCCCGCCAAAATGGTTCACGCGCGAGCACTACTCAGTATTGAGAAAATCTCCTACTCGTTGTCGTACTCGTCTTAGAATCTAAAGTCTCCAATAGCAGGTTAATAATATCATATCCGGTATTATTACTTGCATTCAGACACAGTACACCCACTGAATTTTGACTGGACACGCAGCGAAGTGGAACCCCTGTGGCTGTATGAACACGTGAAAGCCGCTAAGTGGAATGTTCAGGAAGTGGCAACCTTCGTTAAGTGAGTACTTCTTTTGAATCTTGCTGCTTATTTGTCAGTCTCCCAAGCAATGAAAATTCCCAATTACGTGTTTGTAAACATTCACAGTCTCGAAAGTTAGAATCACCTTGTACAACGTAATAAACAATACCACAGGAAAGTACTGCTCAGTAGATTTCATGTGAATGGTCACATTTTAGGAATTCATCCACAGACTCAAAAGTTAGAACCACAATAAACAGCACGACAGGAAAGTACTACTCACTAGCTTTCATTTGACAGGTCGCGCTTCAGGATTTCGCGTACAAACTAAAAAACTAGAACCCCCTCGACTGCCTTTATAAACAGAACCATAGGAAAGTACTGCACCTCAGTAGCCTTCAATTGAATGGTGACTCAAAAGTTACGTACTTGAACTGCTTGCTGTTCGTTGATTGCAGGTCTTTAAACGGCTGTTCCGAGTATGCCGACTCGTTTATATCCCAGGAGATTGATGGACAGGCCTTGATGCTTCTTCGAGAGGAACACATGGTGGTCGCTATGCACATGAAACTTGGGCCCGCTCTCAAAATCGTTGCCAGTGTGAATGCCATGAAGAGAGAAGCCTTGAAAGAACATCAGTAATTTGCTTGATGCTTTTACTCCTTAGAGCCATCACTTGGAAAGCAAACTGTGTTACATGTAGGTTGAATTTTATCTTGTGGTCTTTCACATGCAATCTGTCGCAGGACACCACTCACGGCGCTTACCATTTGTCAGAACTAGGTGGCCAGGCCAGACCAGTCCAGTTTTCTGGAAAGCTCCATAATTAATCAAGACTTTTCAGCCAGGTCATTTTATTAATACATGGTATGCTATGCACAGCAGTAATGGGTTTAAGTAAAAATTTCAAGAACAGACTTATATTTCATTTTCAAAATGACTAGTCTGGCCTGCTACTTCTGTCTTTTGGAAAACGCCCTTAGACTCAAACTCATTTGCATGTAAATGGTAGCCTGCGATCAAGCTCACTAATTTAGGCGAAGCCGCTGTAAATGGTTGCACTGTAGGAATTGGTCCACAAACAAATACGTTGCAACTACCGGTAACTGCACTTCAAGATTCGAACGTAATACTGAGTAGTGTGCATGTGAATGATTAAGTTTTCTTCAGGCTTTTATCCACAGGACCTACCTCGCATATCAGTGTACGCAGAACTACAGTTATGTGCTGCTTAGGAAACATGTAGCTAAATCGACCTTTTACGTTGTAGTTGAGATCTTAACAGCGTTCATTTCACTAGTAACAGTTGTTTTAGGCTTCGCCCAGACTCAAACGGTAGAACTACTGTACAGCGCTGTAAATAGTACTACGTATTAAGGGTGGATAGGTATGCAGGAACTTACGCTGTTGCATCCGCCTGTCAGAATGTATCGTCGTCGTCGTCATCTTCATCAGGGACCTTAAGCAAGGACGACGACGACGGCAGTGAAAACGTCGGTAAAACAAATGAATTTGCGTTCTTTCAAACTTAATGGCGTCTGTTTGGCCCCGCTCAAAATGTCAAATGCAGGCGACTTTTCCTGGAGTTGAATTCTTAAGGATTTTATTCACGTTCAAAAAGATGAAAGAAAATTCGTCGTCGTATGTCCATAAAACGTGAAATTAGGAGGTTTCACGTCGTAGTCGTGCAGCGGACGTCAAAGAAATGTACTAAAATGCGTGATGCACGTGCAGAGCTGTTGTTTTGATCATTAAACCTATAGAGTGTTTTCACTCACGTGGCCAGCATTTATGCAAATTTATTGGAACAAAAGAAATCGTTTGCATAAGAAAAGAGTACAACTCCCACGGGATTGGTTTGGGATACCAACATGGCCGCCGTTTCATTGTTTTGGGACACCAACATGGCCGCCGTGACGTCATGTGAAAACACTCCATTGTTTTTTTTTTTGTTTTTAAGTCGTCGTTGAGGTTGTCGTCGTCCTTGCATAAGGTCCCGGATCATCAGCAACAACAACATCATCATGATGATCATGATCATTACAATTATCATTGTCATTATCAATATCATTATTCTCTTTTCTTTTGCCAAGCTGAAAAATAATAAAAATTCCATTCCAACGGGCAAATGCGACAGCTATACGAATGTTATGCAAATATATCTACCCTACGGAAGTGCGCTGGTGATAAACTCTATAATTGATCGCATTATGGTGTTTTCATTCCTCGTATACAAGGCTTGTCTCCGGCAGAAAGCGGATCTACTGATGTTTATAAATCAAGATTGTTATTTATAATTTAAGTTACAAAATGAGAAACATGAAATATTTGACTTCCAAAGTGGCCCAAGGTAGGTTTTTATGGGGTAGACGTTATTCTTGTTATTTAGTTGCAAGTCTGTTTCGACTTTTTGTGGGCGGTGAAAATCATCAGGGCTTAGCCAGTACATTCACGATCTCATAACGGTGAAATGGTGTAACCGCCGACGATATCTGTTACCTTTACTTTACACAGACAGTACACACATGATCTCCTGATAATACAATATTTAGCCAGGCTATTTTATGTCACATTATTTATCCAAAAAAGGACAGAAACTACGTCCCCAGGGAAACAGACTCCTGCTTTTTTTGGTTGCTTGATCGCTATTGTTGGTAAATGTTATCCTACTTCTGTCAAGTTACGCTTATTTGAGAAGTTTTCTCATCCAAAGTAGACCGCTCCACGATTTGTTTCAACTTTTGACTGAGACTAGTTAACCCTTTAAGTCCCAAGAGCGACGAACATCAATTTTCTCCGAACAACATCAGCAGATCATCAAGAGTAAAGGTCATGAGAATTACTAAATTGATTACTAAAGGGAGAACGCTTTGATTTTCTACCAAATTCTCTCAACTATTCTTAAAGGAAATGTATGGAGATCAGTCTCGAGAATTTGTATGTGAATCTTGGGGCTTAAAGGGTTAACGGAAATCCGTCGACATGGCTAAAAAGAAAGCTTAAAATTAGTAAAGATGTCAAGCTTGAACGGCTGTCCACCTTCCCCTCCCCTAAGCCAACATTAACACTTAACTTCTCACTTAGGGTAAAATGTTGGCTTAGGGGAGGGGTAGATGGGCAGTTCCCCAGAAACGCATAATGATCCGCTTGAACGTGATTTATTGAAAACTAAACTAGGTCTACAAAGTCGTGAAAATTTACAGTCGTCTGTACGGAGAGGGGGGTGGTTGGGGGTGAGGCAGCCCCCACCATGCAAACGTCTGTAAAATGTCGCGTTTTTGTGGAGCAATACCTTCGCTAGTTTTTAAAGTATCACCTTTAAAATTCAAGTTTCCTTTCTTCAAGGCCTTGTTTTAACCAGTGTCAATAGATATTCTCTAACTGGTCTGTATCAAAACTTGGTGAAAAATAAGATAAACGTGGAAAGTTCTTATTATAACACTTTTAGACCAGTCGTAGGAAAGTTGTAGATATATCTATAAAAGTAGGTCAGAAATGGACCGTGGTATTACACTGTAGTTAGTAATGGTCGCTAGAGCAAGTGCATCGATTAGTATTCAGCGTCAATGTCTCGTTAACCAAAAAAAGAATAAATATTAGATGTAAATTTCTTTTTTTCTCAGAATAAAATCTATAATATATGCAAACGTGGTCGTGTATTTTTTATTTATCACTTATTCAGTTATTCCTAGTGTAAGTATTTCACTTCTTTTCATCGCCTGTAAGAGAACATTGCGAATAGCCAGAACAAAACAGTGAATATAGTCAGCTTTAAGAATTGGCGTGATTCTCGTTGTTTTCCGAATTCCACAGAACTACGCAGAGGTGGTACGCCCATTGGGTTGATCCAGAAACTCATAAGGGGTTGAAACGTGTAACTCTCATGTGTTTACTTTGTCTGATGCTCGTGATTATTCATTTTCGAAAATACCATATTTGGAACGAGAAGAAGAGATAACTGACCAATCAAACTTCGTAAACAACGTGACGTAATTTTCCTTCAGGTTCCCGCGCCCACCTTAAAAAATGGCCGACAAACGGGGGAAAGCTTTCAAAGGTTGAAACCAGGAATATTACCGAAACACTGAGCGGGATATTATTGCCTTACCACCCGGGCCAAACGTAACATTAGGGAGCTTAAGCAACGACGACCCGGACGGCAACGAAAACGGCAAAAAAGCAATAGGTTTGATTAGCAAAACAACAACAATGCACGTGCATCACACTTTTTTTGTACATTTCTGTGCCGTCGTTGCCCGACTACAACGTGAAAGTGCCTGAATTCACGTTTTGTCGAGGACGGGAACACGTACAAGACAACAACTTTCTTTTCTTTTCCTGAACTTTGATACAGTCGTTTAGAATTCAACTCCAAAAACATTTGCCAACATTTGACGAAGTAAACGAGATGGAATAAGCGCGATAAAGTTTGAAGCGGTGCGAATTCACTTTTTAAGTGACGTTTTTGTAGCCGTCGCCGTCTTTGTTGCTTAAGCTCCCTAATTGACGGCCTCGCAACTTCTTGAAGTTGTCAATTCAAAAAACGATGCCTCATTGACCCTCTGCACAGTAAACTTATACTGCAAATTTAAAAGTCTAGAAAAAACAGTGAAAAATATTTTCGAATAAAATTCATTAGCTGCGTATCGAAAGTGTCCAAAACCAGCTGAACCTGACATCTTCGCAAAAAGTGGTACTTGTAATGAATGTGAGAAGCATTTTATAGCTTAAATTAAACTTAGATGTTGTAGTCACGATCGTGTTTTGAGCTAATTTTATGAATGAACAAACTCAAAACAATAGACAGAGAAGCCGTTTCTTGAAAATGTTTATTAAAAGTCCAAAAAGTTAATTCTTTCAAACAATTCGGAAAACACTATCTGGATCGTGGATCCGTTCGCGCAAGTGACATCGGCTAAGCACATGGCAAAATTCAATACAAAATCCATCTCAAATCAGGGCACATTTTGTAATTTTTCTTTAGCGCCGAAGAGAGAAATTTATTAAACGGCTTGACACATTTAAAAATACATAAATTCCCTTTCAAAAACGTAATTGTCTTGGCCATAGAGTGCAAAATGTACCTGAAAATTCAGCAAAAACTTCGATGACTTGGTTGCCTTTCAAAACAGACCATGGGCTCCGCCGTGAAGAAAACAAGGTTGAATTCCTCGAAGGACGATTTCTTGATGAAAAGTTTCCTTTTCTCCACAAAAAGAAAGCTGGGCATTCTTTTGAACTTTCTCTTTCCATTTTTTGTCTTTTAACGGTGTATTTTTAACCTTGAAATGCAGAACTCTTGTCTTAAAACATCTGCATGGTGATCGCGCAGCAGCCATTTTGTTGAAAATGGATATCCGTCACTAAGATTTCCAAATATGGTCAAAACGAATATTCACGAGCATTGAACGCGAGTTACACGTTTCAACCCCTTATGGGTTTCTGGTTGGTCTTAGTGTTTAAAGAAGCTATTTCCCACCTGAGGTTGCGCGAGGGATCGGGTCGAGGTGGTTGTCAAAGTGCATTATGGGACTGTTTTGGCGGACAAATTTGCCGCCATGTTGAAAATGCGTCACCTAAAAAAGTCCCACAAGGCACTTTGACAACCATCTCGACCCGGTCTCCCGCGCAACCTCGAAGTGGCGAATGTCACGAGGATATTCTTGTTTTATGTCAACTCTGTGCTGAAGTCATTACTTAATGCATTTACCCATACACAAAATGCTCCTGTAAAGTTATGAAGGAAATATCAAACCGAAAAATGTATCCGGAAGCACTGGCCAAAATAATTTTTGGTCATTTAGCAGGCATGGCATTAAAACTTGATAAAGTTGGCCCAGTTTTTTCAAGTTTCAATCCATGTCCATCCTTGCTATCCTTTGCAACAGACGACAGGAAACAATTTCAATATGCTAAATATAGCCTTCAATTATTCATTTCTGAGGACCCCTGTAGTTTGGATAAAATGTGAGTGCTACTACTGGTTAGCCTGAGTACAGACCCCCCCGCCCCCCTCTCCCTGCAGCAATAATCAAAGAAGGGGCGGAATTGTGCAGAATTGACCACTCCAGAAATACCATAATGCTCTTTGTGTGCTTAGGTGTGTAGTAAGTTTGTGCATGTATGCTTTGTGATAATAATTGTAATTGTTGTACTTTGGAAAAGCAAATGAAATACAGTCGAACCCCGCTATTTCGAAGTCCCAAGGGAAATGGAAAAAAGTTCGAAATAGCGGGGTTTCGAAATAACCGGGGAAGCGTAAAGGGGAAGGGTAAATCCAAGGGAATTCGATCTTCCTTCGAAATAGCGGGGACTTCGAATTAACCGAGTTCGAAATAGCGGGGTTCGACTGTAAAATAAAAAATAAAAATAATAATAATAATGCTCTTTGTTTTGTCACCCCAAAATTTTACATAAGTATTGTCTTCAGTTTCTCTTGGGAGTTAAAATGGCTCCAAGTGAAACTGAAAACAATGCTTATGCAAAATTTTGGGGTGACAAACAAAGTGCATTGTGGTATGTTATGGTATTTTCTGGGGTGGCCAATATTTGTTCATCACGGGGCGCAGATGGGGAAGCAATGCAAGAAATATTGTGCAGACTTTTCAACGCATTTGGACTCCCACCTTTTCCCGGGTCATGATCGGGATTAATGAAAGCTTCCTGAGGGTTTTCTGCAAATTTGACGAACGCGTGCGCGCAATAGCTAACGTAGAGTCTGTTCCTGGTTTCTGAATTGGTATACGCAGACAAACAGGCTCTTGTATTGCAGTCAAGGGGATCAATTTAAACGATCATCGTGAAGGAATGCTGTCGTAAACTTTTCCAATTTGGACAAATATATTTGTGTGTGCAAGGCCGAAACAGAAGAAAATACAGTAAAAAACCGCGAATTATTACCATTTATTATATAGACGCGAGTGTTTTACTGGAAAATATACCACTCGTAAAATTGATAAAAAGTACATCCGGGACCCGAGTGGTTTATTTTCCATAATCTCACACGTGAGTTTATCGATGACGTAATTTTGGTAATTTCCCTCTATTATTTTATCGATGTCATTTTGTCTACATAATAAAAAGAACATTACACGGCGGCTTGAAGATATGAATTTTATTTTCTCGTGGCAAAAACAATATTTTACTCAGTCGCTGCGCTCGTTCGTAAAATATAATGTTTTGCCTCTCAAAAATAAAATTCATATCTTCGCGCCACCGTGTAATATCCTCTATTTATGTGAGAATCTGTTAAGACTAACTTGGGAAACTGCAGGTTCTTACTCCCGGGTTTTTACTGCATGGAAAACCGAAAAACAATAGTCAAGCTACGTAGAGTAAAACAAAAGCCAAACGCTCCAACAAAGAGACACCGACAACCGCTAAGGACACTAAAAGCAAACAACCTGACGACTTTTGAGCCACATCATGATCTCAAAATATATCTTAAACTGTACAAACAAAACCCCGCTACATGTATCTTTAATTAAATTTGTTCCCCGCAACAGGCCACGTTTGAAAAGTTGAGGATTATATTTGAGATGTTTTCGTATTAGACTCGTTTCTAGAGCCTATATTCATTTGTTATTTAGGAATAAGCTTGTTTTGAATCAGTGGAAACAGAATTTTATTGCCTATTAGTGATACGAATTCAATAAAATACAATCATTATTTAGCTTTGATCCATGTTAGTTAAAATAACTTTGAAAAATAATTTCATATACATCAAATTTAGATGTTATTAAGCAACTTCAATTTAAACTCTCAATTAGAGTAATTCTTTGTTATGATTCTATTTTGGATCGCCCTCCATCGTACATGTCACAAAGGGGCAAATTTCCTTGAGACCTTCATTGGAAAACAAAACTTACAATGTAAAGAGGTCTATTGTATTTGGTTAAACGTCTACGGTATTAATTTGAAAAGAATTCTCGCCTGTGACAAAGTTTTATAACAGAGCTCGTATGTCTCAGTGAATTTTTCAGGTTAATTAATAATTGATTAGTTCATCCATTCATTAAATTTGCTGTATTAGAAGATTCTAAGATAATGCTACTTGTTGATTTCGAAATAATTCTGTAAGTACCCCGTGTTTGTCTTGTAGAAGAACGTTTGGTTTATCAAATTCAACAACCGTTCCTTTATCCATAACCAGTACTTTATCGTAGTCTATGATAGTGTTCAGACGATGCGCTATCGTAATAACAGTACAGTCTTGAAACTTGCTACGAATAGTTTCTTGGATTCTTCTATCAGTGCTAAAATCCACGTTTGCCGTGGCTTCATCCATGACAATGATCTTGTTTTTGTTTAACAAAGATCTTGCTAAACATAGTAACTGTCGTTCTCCGACACCAAAGTTGTTTCCGGACTCGGAAAGTTCATAATAAAGTTCCCCAGGCAATTCCTGTATTTTGGATTTCATTTGAACTTGTTCTAACACGCTCCAGATTTCTGTGTCGTTGAAGCGAGAGAACGGATCTAAATTGATCCTTAGAGGGCCGCTGAACAGGGTGGGGTTTTGAGTGATAACTGAAATAACCGGTCTGGTGCTTTGAACGTTGAGTTCGCCAAGCGTCAAGTCATCAATGTAAATATTTCCACCTGGTTCTGGCATCCGAAACAAGGCGGATACCAAAGAAGACTTTCCAGCTCCCGTTCTTCCGGCTACTCCAACCTTCTCACGAGGGTTGATATTAATGGAAATGTTCTTAAGAACTTGGGGGCCCCCTTCGTAGTATTTGAGCGAAAGGTTCTCAAATCGTAGTCCCCCCTCTTGGGGCCAGTCGGCAGGGGGCTTGTTGGTGATATCATACGCTGGCTCCCTAGGGAGCTCAGTGTAGGTTATGACTCGCTCCACCGCGGTCATCATGTTTTCAACATCAGCCGTCTGGCGCATGGCAAACTGCAGCTGACCAACAGTACTGATGGCGTACACAAGGGAAAGGCCCAATGTTCCTAAGGAAAGAAGTCAATGTACGTTATTCTTATTATAGGAAATTAACGCTTATCAGCAGCCTATGGTGATAGGCTCATGTGCTTATGTTAAAAAATGCGACGTCAATAAACGTAAATTTAAGGTAAAAATACCTTCCAATAAAGGAAATTTACGACTGAGAGGCAGCAAAATTTCTGATTGAAGGAAATTAAAGCAATTTCCAGAAAAATATCGCTTTTGTTGACTAGGAACAGGAACAAAATGAACTGTCAGATATTTTAGAAGGGCCATACAGACAGGAATGTTTTCTTGAGTATCAAGATTTCATAGTGTCCATGAGTGAGTTCGTTAAGTTCGTCTTCGATTTTAAGTATCGTTTCTTTCCTATTACAAAGTATTCTACTCAGGTAAACAAAGGGAAACCTTCTGATCATCCCCCTGCGTGCGAGTCTATCTTTTTATCGAGGGTCGAGTGTCGAGGGTAACAGTTTTTTTTCCATTTTTTTTAAATAAAAAATAACAAAGTGTTGTTGCGTGTTGCTGTTTTTGATTAAAATAACATGCAAACACTGTACCTGCATCAGTTGTGGTAAATACACCAGTGAAAGTTGCACACGCTACAAACAACGTACAGACGAAATCAAGGCGAATTCCCATCCATCGCGCGCTGTGTGGCACAAGAAACCAGATCTGGCTTCGTCTGTCTTGCACCCTGTAAAAACAGTAATACTTAGCAGCAAGGAAATGTCAAACTCCAGGGAAAATCCTATTTTCAAGGGGCGGGGGATGCTTCGCCTCATTTAGGAGTGTACAGTCGTGCCTCCAAGTGCGACCACTTTTCGTAAACGACCACCTCCCAGAAGCGACCATCTATCCAAAAACACTGAAAATTTTCTCCGTCAAATCCCTATAATTAGAACCTCTGTTAAATGAACTCTCTTCTAAGCGTCTGCGACCCCTTTTTGGCCTGATGGCTTCATATGATTTATAGAAAAAGATTTTGAAGACTCTAAAATGAAACGCTAATCATTGTCCCTTTCTGTCAAAAATATGGCTCGTAATTAAAAATCAAAGACCTTTAAAAGCCTGCTAAAGATTAGCCTGAGAACACGGCCGTATACACATAATTTTGCCGGTTGTCTCTTCTTCCCACCCGAAAAGTTATATCAGAATTGAAGTCACAATCGGATTGCCCTATGCCCAAGACAGTCTTGGATCCTGAATACCACGCTGTGGATTTCGGATATCTTGTCAGTGGAATTGGGATTCCGGATTCCAATGGCGTTAGCGGGATTCCAGATTCCTTGAGCTGTGTTCCGGATTCCAAAGCCCATGATCCTGGATTCCACAAGTAAAAATTTCTCGAATTCCAGAAAGCGGCTTACCTTAAATGGGGCGAACTGGAAACACGTCTGTGTTCATAGGTTAACTTTTTTAAAGGTAATAGAGTTTGTTTCACAGCCGTTCTTTGTATCGCCACGCAACGTTCCAAAGAACGGCTGTGTCCGCGGCAGACTATAGAGAAAAGGGAAGAGAAGAAAGATAAAGTCTTACTCGTTAAAAGCTTTTATAAACTTTTCCTCCATGTGGTATGTTCTGATGATAATGATTCCCTCCAGAGTGTCGGCCAGGTGAGCCAGCACCGGGCTCTGACTTATCGCCTCCATTCGCTTGATTTCACGAGAGGTCTTCAGATAATATCTACACGAAGAAGAGTTCAACAATCTTTACAAAACAGACCACCTATTTTACTTAAGTAAATAGTGCATATCCCATCTACAGTGGTATATTTTAAAATTATACAACTGAAAACACCAAATGTATTGACACCCGTGACAGGGGAACTAGGCGCTATCAGCAAGCTCTCCTATTTGGGCGAAGCAAAGGGCGCGAGAACGCGCGGGTGAGCAGAGAAACCGTCCCCTGCTTTCGCGTCTCCTCTCGCGTGCCCAGTCTCACGCGTCTACTTTTCACGATATCCCCCAAATGGAGAGCTTGCTCGCAGGCTGGGCACTATCCCCCGTAGCGCGTGTCTCGCGCTCCACGCTCACATTGCGCTTCGGGGCGCCTGAAAAAAGCGGGAAAAAAATCGCCTTTTCTACAGGCTTTTACATATACATGTATAAGTTCAGACTTATATATAATTATCTTTAAATTCCGAGGTAGTCAATTAAGTAGGGCCGTAGGAAACATTTTGAATGCCTTTGTCTGTTCAGTTCAGATCATTATACTTTCTTTGGACCTATACTGATATTCTAAAGCAGAAGCCGGTTAAAGTATCAAAGCTCTGTTAGAGATCGGGATTTAAAGTTTTGCCTTTCATACTACAGGTCATGTTGCAAATTATTGAAACATATTACGGGTGACCCGTAATATCACTTGTTCATCAAAGTGAATATCTTTACTGTACAGAGCACAAGATGACGATTGATCTAAGTTACCTGTTGATTGCAAAGAAACCAGTCACCATAGGAATAACGCCAATGATCGCCCAATAGTTGGTAGAACACGTGACGCATACAGATGCTAGTGTCTGCAATATATACTGGATAGCCAGTAGCGAAGTAGGAGGCAAAAACTCGTCAACGATCCCAATATCCTTTGAGAATCTGTTAAGTATTCTCCCGGAAGGATTGGTGTCGAAGAAGAAAACAGGCGACTGAAGAATGGAAATAACCATCCGATCGTGAAGATTATCTGAGCATCTTAGTGTGGTACAGTAGTAGAGAAGACCTCGGAGAACAGCAAGAAAGAGCGCCCCTCCCACCAAACTGCCGTAAATTATGAGGTTAAGTTTGTGCTTCTGTTCAACCCATTTCATTCGCGTTAGATGCACCAGCCACAGGTTAGGAGAAATTATAGATGCTGTTGAAAAATTCTAGTTAGAAAGAAGCTACACAGTTCATGTATGAGTACCGGCCGTAAACGTCCGCCTATTAGCCGTGGGCTTAAACAACTTCGTAAAGGGTTTTAGGAGGGTTTAGAGACAGGGGGAGAGAGGCTTATATTAGCGGGAGCTTACAAGCGGACAAAGAACAGCATGTCGAAACAAGCTAGTGCTACATAACAGTGTTGATCAGAGTACATTCTTAAGTTGATTTTAACTGTAATTCAAGATTCAAAACGTCGACGTTAAAAAAAATCAAATTCATTTCAATACAAGCTAGAGGGGGATGGCATATATTTGGAGGGGCGGTGCTGAAACCGGATATATCTTTTTGTTTGCAGGTAGATTGGCCTGTAACTGGGAGGGGGGGCTATAGGTGAGGGCTAGGGCTTACAAGCATATGTTTATTGGGTGTTGTTAGTGGACAAATATCTCCCGAAGTGGAGGTGAATATTGGTGGAAATATGGCGCGCCTTGTCCCCAAGACAAAGCGATTCGCAGATTTCTGCACCGTTAAGTTCCAAGACCAGCTGTAATCCTGTGCTTGTTATTTTTTCTCTGTTATGTAGTGCTTTTAATCATATTTACATAATTATCTATTTGATTGTTTTTGTATTGTATTGTCTTCTGTTAGTCACTGACCTTCCTGGTAATTCAGCCTTTAGGCTGCGAGAGGGATATCAATAAACTATTATTATTATTATTATCATTATTATTATATATTTAACGCTGTTCACCGACCCTGAGGGGGATAGTTGTTTTAGTATTTACTAAATCAGTTGGATAAAAATGGAAAAAAGCAACTTTCTGCAAATTAAAAACGTCACTTGGTAGGAACTTTGTTTACAATTTACAAACATTTCGGATTTTGTCAACTGCATTTTTACGATTTTGTTGCAAATTCAGCATGAAAATAATTTTCCACTTACCAGTAAACAATGGCAAGTCAAAGATCGTCGATTTCTTGGTATTTGTTTGTACAACTGCTTCAATTTCGTCTATCGAAAATATCTCGAAACGAGACGCCATCTTGGCTCCAGTCTCAAATCAGAGAATAGCCAAGGATATTCCGAGTTACAAGAGCCAATCAAACCGCGCGAAAATTGGTATTCACTGATTTGGTAAACACTAATTATTATTATTGTTATATTCTGATTTCCTATCCATGTGGCCTACACTAGATTGACCAATCTTGTCCTCTCAGGGTCACCCGCTTTTTCCCGCGAGATTGAAAAACTCTTCACAACAACTACTTCGGCACATTCTAGGCTGTCACTTTTATTAAACAATAACAACACGGCTTGATGCTTTGTTGGTAAATTGGCGCAAGTTATAATTAGCTCTTATGTTCTTGGAACATTCCATGGTATCAAAAATATAAACGTTAGAAAGTGAAATATTGTTCGAGTAAGGCCTTTAATTGCCATAACATTTGAATTTCGAGCTTTCGCCGATGATCAACATCATCATCAGGGATGAAAAATAAATCGCGTGGTGTGTAATTGCCTACCCATGTGGCCTACAATAGATCGACCAATCTTGTCCTCTCAAGTTCTCCCGCTTTTTTCCCGCAAGATTAGGAAAAAGATATTTTGGCTGCATAAAAGAATATCTCATTGCGACTACGCTTGTTGGCCAAGAAAAATTGATAGTTATTCTTTGAGGTTTCATTAAACTGGCCTCCCATCAGCGCACAAATATATGTTGCGGTCAAAACTTAGAAGCAAATGATTTACCACGGCTCCGAGAATTTCAAAAAAGGAGTTAATGAGATACAAGCATACATGCACCTACCTTGCGCGATTAGGAACAGCAGTAATAGGAACATTAACAATATCCCATGCAGGCCCGATCTGAAGTAGCGCCAGTAGAGGCGGGCAGAAATGGTGCCTACAATTCGGTCCTCCTGAGAAGTGACCAGGCCCTTCGCGGCACCTTCAGAGCAGTCGCTTTCACGGCGTTCCTTGCGCTTAGAATTTTCCTGAAAAGAGAGAAAAAGGGTCAGCTAAGGCGTCATGGGATTGATGTAAAGAAAACTATGTCATTGTAGTTGCCTTATACTGGCTTTGCATAAGTTAATGCGGATTCCGGAATCCGGGAAAGTTTGCTTATACATCAGGAATCCTATCCTGGGCTTTGGAATCCATAATCAGCTTACGAAACCCGAACGACTGGCATGTGGAATCCAAGTTCCACTGGCAAAGAATCGCGAATCCAGTTCCTCTATTCCAGAATCCACAGTATGGAATCCAGAATCCGAGCGTGTATTGGATCACCTTACATTGGGCGACTTATCAAACCTTTTCCAAAAGTAACGGCTCTTTCTAACTATTTTAGACAACTTCCTCTCGGAGAGTCAGAACGCCCCTGTAGTAACTGATTATTCTACCCTACGAGCAGAGGTTTCTCTGTTTCATGGCTTTTAGGGTTTACGAAGTCGTTTGCGAGGCTTTTCTGTCGTGTAGCTGGTTTGTTTACGCCTCTTGAGAAACGGGACGTAAACAAACTAACTATGCGACAGACAAGCCACGCGAACGACTTCGTAAACCCTAAAAGCCATGCAACAGAGAAACCTCTGCTCGTAAGGTATGGTTATTCAAAAAAATGTACGTATTTTAAAACCATTCGCTACTTTAGAAACGAGAAAAAAACTGGGTCAAGTTAACTTTCGCAAAGACTTCTGGTACTGTTACCAGGGACACCGAGAAATCTGCCCAATGGAGAGCTTAGGCAACGACGACGGCGACGGCTACGAAAACGTCACTGACAAAGTGAATTCACGCTGCTTCAAACTTTATCGCGCTTTTTCCATTTCGTTCAGTTCGTCAAATCTTGGCAATTTTTTCTGGAGTTGAATTCTATAAGACTGTAGCAAAGTTCAAGAAAAGAAAAAGAAAGTCGTTGTCTTTGTTCACGTCCTCACAAAACGTGAAATTGGGTATTTTCACGTCGTAGTCGTGCAGTGATGGCAGAGAAATGTTTTAAAAAGCGTGATGCACGTGCAGAGTTGTTGTTTTGCTAATCTAAACCGATTTCTCTTTTTCCCATTCTCGTTGATGTCGCCGTTGTCTTTGCTTAAGCATCCTGACAGCTGACCAGCGAGTCTCCAGAAACAGCCCCTGAAGAAATTGCGGGACACAATTCGACTCCAGTCCCTGTCTCGAGAATAAAGTGACCAAGTGCGCAAGATCTTCCGATGACTGAAATGCGTGAAAATATTTTCCCCGCAAATTTGGATAAAATGATAACGAAACCGTGAAAAAAGTATTTTATATATCAGGTGTAACTAAAACGCGAAATGGAATATGGTAATGCAAAAGTTTTTTAAGGTCATTCCTTTGAATAGAGGCTGCGGTGATTTTTTTTAAACGTTAGTACCAATTGGTTGCTTATGTTATAGAGACTTGAATTTTAAAATAAATTTAGGGGTTCCCCTGACTCGTTTAGGCACAGCAGTAGCTTGTTTATACGCAATGATTCCTTGAAATCCAATATGCTCATATCTACGAGTACAGCGCTTAACCAACAGATGTATTCAGTTGTCTGCGAATCGTGACTAGTTTACCTGGTCAGTTGTCACGGTCAGTTTTCCTCCTTCAATTTCATGATACTTTTCCTGCCCCTGATCAAATTCTTTCTCTAGTGTCTCGAAGTCCAGTCCAGCTTCCTTCATTGCCTCATATTCCCCTTCCTTCACCACGATTCCGTTGTCCAGAATTACGATGTGGTCTGCGTTTTTCATGTACTGCAATTGATGCGTCACAAGAACACGCACCTTGTTGCTTAGCAACCCGTTAATACATTTCTCAAAAATGTGTTTGCCAACTTTAGCATCGACAGCACTTAGCGGGTCATCAAGCAAATAGATATCAGCATCGCTATACACTGCGCGTGCTAGATTGACGCGTGCACGCTGACCACCACTCAGACTAGCACCGCGCTCTCCGAGAACAGTATTATCTCTTTCAGGCAACATAGCAATGTCCTTCTTCAAATCGCAAGCTTCAATCGTTCGGTCGTATTTTTCTTGGTCGAACTTCTGGTTGAAGAGAATATTCTCTCTCAGGGTGCCGCTATATACCCAAGCAGTCTGAGGTACATAGACTATCTTTCCCTTGCGTGCAATGTTACCTGAGCTCGGAGGAAGTTCATCGAGAAGCGCCAGAAGAAGTGAGGATTTTCCCGCACCAACAGGACCTGTCACCAAAACTAATTTACCTTCCTTGGCTTCTATACTGACGTCATTTAGAACCGGACTTTCATTTTTACCATTCCAATGGCAAGTTATGTTGGATGCCTGGAAAATGGAAGAAAAAATGGATCATAATACGTTTCTGGGAAACTGCCCACCTACCCCTCCCCTAAGCCAAGGTTTTGCCCTAAATGAGAAGTAATTGTTAATGTTGGCTTAAGGGAGGAGTAGGTGGGCAGTTCAATCAAATATTCAAATCGAAATAAAAAATAATAAGAGCGCTGGTCCTGGCTAGCAAAATATTTCATTTTGTTTCATTAACTGATAGTTTTACCATGTTAGATGCAAAACTATCGAAACCTTTATCTTGCATGTAAACAACAACAGCTTTACGGGCCCGTTAATTATATATCTGGACTTTCGAGAAACGGACCCCAGAAACCTAAATTGAACGGGAAAAAACACACTGAGTCTCGCTCCATGTAAAGTAATCCGGATTCTGGAATCCGAAAAGTTTTTGCTTGTGGAATGCGGATTCCGGGGAATTCACCACAAGGAATCCGAAATCCCGCTAACGCGATTGGAATCCGGAATCCCAATTCCACTGACAAGCTATCCGGAATCCAGTACCTGAAATCCAAATCTGCTTCGGATTATCTTTCTTGGAGCGAACTGTTGAAATAAGGTACGGCATACCGAATTTCTACAGCCAATCACAAAATGGGAATTGAAAAAAAAAATGTTCAGGACCGATCCCAAACCGAGGAACCCAATGTCAAGCGCAAAGAAGTGCATCAAGCAACTTTTTGCCACGGCCTTTCGTGTTTCTGGATATTCTTTTGAAAGGTTGAAGTTTCAAGTTAATTTATTGATTAATATTTTCCTTCACCAAAGTCTTTTCGCGCTATATAGCACGCAGGTAATCAAGGATAGAAGGAAAGGAAATTAAAAATTAATAAATGTTAACAGGAAAGGGAAGGAGAAGTCAATAAGTTACTGGATACAAAACTACCAAAAGGATTAACTAAAACTGTTATATTGACAGTAACTGAGAAGGTCTAGGCAAACCCAAATGGCGATGCAAACGGGAAGTGATTGGAATCATGCCATAACGCTTAAGTCAAAAGAGTTGGTTGTTAAAGCAAAGTCTATGACCTACGATCTCACAGCGGCGTAGTTTTGAAAAACTAATGTTGAATGCTATGGCCAAGGCGAAAGCGTTTTGAATATATATATCTATATCTGGATATATTCGTAAAGAGACAGATTGTGTTAAAATACCTCACCTTTAGAAATGGTTTCTTAGCACTCTCCTCCTCCTCCTCTGCTTCTTCTTTTCTTTCTGTACTGTCTTCCTTCTCTGGTTTTTCTTCTCTTTGCTTATCTTCTTTTCCATTTTCGTTGAGCTCCTCGATCAACAAGAATCCTTCAATTCTCTCAAGCGACGCAAAACAGTCTGCAATCAGCTGCATTCCGTCCGTGAGACCATAAACAAGAGAACGCCTGTTCTCCGACAAGAGACCGACCATTGTGAACACGTTAAATGGCGTCAGGCGAATCCCGGTGAAGATGAGAGTTATGAAAGCGATCAGACAGATCACGCTGTCGTATGTGTGCTGCAAGGAGGCGAATGTTGAGAGAATATTGTATATTTTTCGCAGGATAGAGATTTCAGACCTGTAAATATAAAAACAAGGGTATTCTGCATAAGGCCTCGGAAGTACAAGAGGAAATTCAAAAGGGTAATGTCGGTATCTTTTAAGCAATTAGTATATTTTGGGCACGTATGTTCTATTCCCATTTTACCAACAGTATTATGGTTGCCAAACCCCAGATCGCAGAATTTAATCCCTCTCCCATCATAGTATAAGAAGGAGGAGATGGTTATTGCTTTTTAAATTTGTTTCTTTCCGCCCTTCGTCGGGGGAGGAGTGACTGGGTGCATTTCCCGAACAGTCGAGGGCATGGATGGAAGCAAGAGTGGTGTAGTGGTGAGAACAATCGCCTCCCGCCAAAGTGCCCTGGGTTCAAATCCCGGCGTCGACGCCATATGTGGGTTGAGTTTGTTCTTGGTTCTCTTCCTTGCTCCCAGAGGTTTTTTCCCGGGTACTCCGGTCCCCCTTCTACTCAAAAACCAACATTTCCAAATTCCAATTCGACCAGGAATCAGGCAGACGAAGAACCACTTAGCGGATGTGCTGCCTATAAATTGTTGTTTATTGTTTATTATTTTATGTAATAGCTGATAGTCGAGCCTACCCTTTTGGCCTTTGAGGACCAGCGCATAAAGTTGGGTTTTGAAATAATTAACCAAGAATTCAAATTTGCTTCGTCGTATCTCTGGTATGGCGAGAAAAAAGATTCCAGGAGTGAGGTTATAAATGAATCTGATGTTTAAAAATTGTTCTAGCTTACCTCCTTATCGCACGCACTGCATCTCTGTACGGCAACTCCCAAGCATACATCTTGACAGCTCGTATCCCTGAAACAATCTCATTCATCACCCCTAACCTCTTATCTGTTACCCTAGCTGCTTGCATTCTGAGCTTAGCAACCCAGCCTGTCATTTCCGCCTCGTAGGGAATGAGAATGAGAGCAAATGCCAACCCGGTGACTGCCTGCCAACCAATCAAAACCCAGAGAAGAATTCCCAGTATCACGAGATCGAACGGGGATCGCAAGGATGCAAAGAGGTTCTGAGTCGCCAGGTCGAGACGTTGAATATCATTGGATACTAAATTGATGACGTAGCCGGAAGTTATCTTCGCTAGCTTTGATTGGCTCATTCGAAGCACCTGAGACAACAAAGAAACGAACAGTAAAATGAGTAGGTGTTAAAAAAATATTACGTGAGGGTGAGGTATCCGTGAAAAAACTGCGAAAAATCAATTTTCTGTATAATCTATTTTAAATTTGAAACTGTAGTAGATGATATTCCTCTTTATATTGCTTTTCCGTCTGACTTCCGTGATTTACTTCATATAGGTTCAAACCACTCTTTTTAACATCATGTAAAAGTGTATAATATCATTTCTTTAAATTGATGGTAAGGAAAAAATTATGCTCTTTTATCAATATTTATGACAATAGCCAAGCAATATCGGCTTATGCAGTTTAAAATAAGATGAACGAATCGGCATGCAGTCATAGCATAATAAAAAACGCATGCAAAAAATTTTGATTGAAAACGTGCTCTTTATACGTAAAAAAGTATATAGTCTTCTTTGTTTAAAATAATTTTGAAGTCGTCAATTATTTTAAGAGTATTCACAAAAAAAGGTATATAACCAAAAATAACTTTCGGCAATATTTGTTGTTCTGTTTTGTTATTTTCGCACAGAAGAAACTTCTTGTGAAGTAGGACTTTTTGCAACAACATACGTCCCTTCCTACAATTTAAATAGACACAAGTTTCGCTGAAGATCTTTTTATCATCTACTTAGCAGGTCCTTACTTTGATTTGGCTGACCGCGAAATGCTAAGGTCATGGCGCGCGAAATATATCAAGACAAAAAAAAGGACATCCTAAGCAATTAAAAGTGCTTAGGACAAAGTTGAGTGACGTTTTATTGTGAATACAAGTTAAATTTCCCTATATTGCTCACAATACGGTCGTTCAAATAATTTATATATTGGGACGGCCTTTCAACAGGTCAATTATACGTCGTAGCAACCTTTATTTAGCTTTTAAAAAAAAGTTAAAAAAAAAATATATAGGTTTATTGATATTTATCTCTTAGAAATGCAGCGCCTTTACGAGGCTCTCGTTGTTCCAGAAAGTTAAGGTTTATGGCATTTAAGAATACAGAAATGAACATTACTTACTGGTAAAACGAAATAAAGGAAAATCATAATCTAGCCGTATATACATGCTGGTAAGTAACAAATCACAGTAGCAACAAAAGCTCACAAGCAAAAGAGAACCAAGTGAACATAATTTGATATAATCGTACTTGTTTCAGCTTTGGCAAACATAAACTAGGGAAATGGTGATTAAGGTTGTCACTGAAATGCTTAATTTGAATGACATAAATAAGAAAATAGCTTTTTAAACTTCCTAAAATGGTTGAGCTCACTGCTAGAACTTAACAAAAAAATTATTTGGAGAAGGAGTTTCTATTGTACGACGGATATTGTTATCTTTTTTATTAAAACAAGTCAAGTCGTCAACTTTTTAAGAGTCTTTTCTAAAATAGCTTCATAACCCGAAATAACCTTTGGAAATATTTGTTCTCGTACTGTTTTGTTATATATTTCGGCTAATAAGAACCTTCTTACGAAGTACATTTATTTTCAAAAGCATCCTATCGACTTCACATACACACACTTCATAAGGTCTTCTAATAGTATTTACAACAAGCGTTATTTTACTGACCGCGAATGGTAGGTCATGGTCTCGCGCGAAATACTCACTTTAAAAGGGACATTGCAAAGTCCTCAGCAAAAACTTGACGTTTTATTATGATTTCAAGTAAAAGTACCCTATATTGCTGACAATACGTTCGTTCACGTAATATTTCGTGGGAGGACTGGGTTGAAATATCAAATTAGAGTATATTTACGTTGGCCCTCTATTTCATCTCATTTTTCCCCCTATTGCGCGCGTTTAAGGATGCAGAAATAAAAAGTATAACTCCGAGGCAGAGGGGTGATACTAAAACATTCTGAAATAGTAGGTGATGCAATTCGAACGCCCAAAACGTCGGGGAGCTTTTCGCTTACAAACCTCAGTCGTTCACCTGGCAAAAATCGGGTGAAGTGATAAACTCTCTACACTTAATTCTGGCAGATGATGCTATTGTTTTTTTTTATTGTTTTATTTTATCACATGTCTCCTTCTAAGAAACACAATCAAAACGTGCTCTAAAGTGACCGTGGTTCAATCTTCCGAACCCAATCAAAGGTCAAAGTCAAAGAAAAACAAATCTTCGAACGTGAACCACTCTGAGGTAAAAGTTAGGTTATTCCGGGACAATTCCGAGTTTTTTCCGGACTTAATTTAATTATATTGCCGAAAAGCATGCAGCGTTTATTCATTCTTTCTTTCTTTTTCTTTCGGTCAGTAAAGCAAGATTTAGAAGACTGATAGTTCATGAATGCTCTCGGCGTTGAGTATTCTGCTTTTAAGACTTTCCTTGTTGTTGGAAATCACTCTAGGAACATCCAGCTCGATGGACCAAAATCGCTATTTGCATTTAACAATATATATACCCACGAAGACGTATATATTCTTGAAATTGGCTACCGCGTTAGTGCGTGCATCTTGGCATGGCTAGGTTATATATAATCAAGAATGTTAATTTATGCGAGGTTCTATTTCATGGACTATGCACAGATTTCTTAAAAAGCAAGAAGATAATAAAATTTTTAAGGACAGTGACAACTGATTCCTCCCTGCAAATTTCTCTATCAGAAATTAATTCGTCTCTCGTGCCTCAGTACAAGTAAAACGGAAGTGAAAGGTATTTTGAACAAGGGCTGTTAACTGATTACTATTTACATGAGCAAACCCGGGTTGGTGTGACGGTTTGGGTTTCTGGTAAATTTCCACGCTGTGGAATCGCGTTTACCATTTCCGCAAATCAGTTCCATCATATTTACTTAAGTGGAATGGTTTTGAAACCTGTTAGACTCCTTTGTTAGGGTCTGTTTACATGGAGGTGGGAGACCCCAGGTAGGTGAGGTAACCCTCTTAGGTGGGGTAACCCGCCTGTCTATATATCTTACTGACCAATTGAATATAGTTTATTCAGTCACAATTTGTGAACAAAAACAAAGAATTGTGCACGGTTAGGGAGCTTTCAACATAAAGTACAGCACTGTTGTTTTCAACTAACTTTGATGTTTGTCGGCTTCGATAATCAGTCTTCTCTTCTAACTCGATGGTTCCATTTACTGAAAAACGGCCGCAAAGTCCTGAAACTGGTATCAAAGATGGCTTTGAAGGAATGGAACACGAATTTCGTGTCATCCACGCTGTAAAAGACTGTGAAGTTTTTCTTTTCTTTTTAGTAGCTATGTTTTTGTTACTGCTTTTCCCAGGGGCACCCAACGACTGTTTTCTGTAAAATATCTGTTCGGAGACACGAAGCAAATATGGCCTAGAATTTTCTATTACTTGAGAACGGCTTAAAATTTCTAGATGACCGTTCCATTCCATGTACAGTTTTCGAAGCTTATCTTATTAATTCCCTACGATTTCTGAAGTTTAATTTTTCACATTAAAAAATTTTCTCTCTCCAGATTAGGCTATTTTTCGTCGAAAAAGGAAAGCTAAAATCTTTGTATTCAAAAATGTGATGGAGAGAGGAATCTGAGAAATTCAAACCGATAATCTGCATTTAAAACTTTCGGGAAAGTAATACTGAATGCAATTTCTAAAAGACTCAAGTTTCCCTAGGATGACCGAAAAGGGACAAATTTTATAGCGCCGCTTAGAATGCATTTCTAGAGATCAAAAAGTGCTCTGGATAGTCTAAAAAAAGTGTTTTCAATGAATTTAGGAGGAGACGGTCGTTGGGTGCCCCTGTTTTCTGGACTTGACCGAAGGTACTATTCAACAGCATTCTTACATTTTTTATCCAACTGACAAATAAAAAACGTCCCATAAATTTATTCATTCATGGTTGTAAACCAAAAACAAACGATTATGCCTGTCAATAGCTCCCAAAATTCACACAGTAGCACCATTGTTTCATCTGTGATTTTTGCCGGCTTTCATACTGGGTCTCCTGTACTAACTATGCAAAAAAAAAAAAAATTGGACTACTAGAATACGCGTACATTAGACACAGCGTCATCAGCAAGTTAAAGATGATAACCCGATTTTAGTACAGCGAATTAAAAAGTTAATTTATTTGATTTATAGGACTCAATTCAAATGAAAGACGTACATCGTAAGTTTCTCCTTTCTTTATCTTAGCGTGGATTTATATTTGGCTAGTGAGTTGTCAGTATCACCTGGTAGATTTACTATAACATTCATGACCAGAATATTGGAATGTAATGAAAGCTGAGTGACAGCATGAGTCATCATCGAATTGGCCTTCATGAGATGTTTGAAGACTTATGTTTACATTTTTTCCACCTCTGTGGTCAGAAATAATGAAAAACATATTCCAGAGTTTAAAAGGGTATTGCATACCGAATACGCATGAAATCTCATAAAGCACAGAAAACGCACAATTAAGCATTGTGTTCACTCTTAGCATACTTAGTCACGCGTCTCTGGTTAGAAATAAACGTTTTCTAGAACGTGGAAAAACTTTAGTTATTTACATTCAAATTAATATTTTTCGTTGATAGAAATATGGATGCTGTCTATCTCTCTTTCAGTAAGATTAGAAACAATTGAATTCAAAATCGATCTTTTCACCTTTACGCGACACTAGCCGGGTACCTGACTTGACGTACTTTCATAGACAAGCACTTTGCTCCCTGGTTGACCTAATTCAAATTGTTGTAGGTTTTTTTACACCTCACAAGTCATTGATCAAAGTCATTTTCCAGAATTTAAAGAAACGCTGTTTACAAACTGAATTAAATTTGGATAAAACCCCACTGGGCTTTATTAAGCGAAATTGAGAAGTTAAACAACACGCCCTTAAAAGGCTGAAATCGGCTTCTTTTGTTTGTCCAACTGAATCTTATTGCCCAATGCTTTCTCTTAACAACTTCACTACTGGTCATTTAGATCGGGTTTCAAAAAGCAACATTTTCTTTATCTAACTAGAAATCAATTACCAATGTAAACTTCTTCAAAAACTTTTCACACTATATCTTGGCAAAATAGGTTTGAATTAACTCCAGGTTTTGTAAAGAAATTTCCGCTTCTCTGACCACGAATGAATACTTTTAAAGCACTATAAACAATGTTGCCAGTTCATGATCACCATGAATTTCGTCTTATAAACAAAAATCTGGATCTTTAAAGTACGGAAAATCAGGCAAGCGACAACTATACAATTGTGTTGCTTGCCAGTTTAGCTATGTCTTGTGATCGTCAGCATACAGAAAAATATTTCCTTAGTAATAATGATATAAATAGCTAAAGTTGTTGCCGAGGGACTGATCATTGGTTAAACAAATTATGCAAAACATTGGTATTTAACTATCTAGCTGGGAGCACTCAGAAACTATTATTAGCGCTTTTATTTTATTTCTTGCATAATTTTTAATCAACACGTTAGATCCACCGATCTTCTTTGTAGGTTTCTTATTAAGTTAGTTTTATAAACAAAAGCACAATAAAAGAACTGACTTGTAATTTCTTTATCTTGTGGTATTCTATATAAAAGTACTTGTTAGATATTGTATGCTAGAAACGATCACGCAATATAGCTACAATTTTGTTAAAAGTTCTGGAAGAATACTATGCTGTTAAATTTTATTGTTGTTATCAATTTGAAGTTATAAAATGTTTCACTTACCTTCTTGTATAATATTCCAGTTGCCGCCGCCCTAAATCTCATCCCTAATAAGGCGGATCTGTTCTGATAATGATGTTGGGCGAGATTTCGTCCGAGAGATGTAATGCAAATAAATGTTGGTAAAATGTATTTGAAGCTTACGTCTAACTGCCGAATTCCCATCAAGTAAGAGATCAAAAAGCCCAAAAGAACTGGTAAAGTCATTCTATTAGCCATATCTGTTAGTACCAACGCGATAATTGTGAAATATTCGTACCAAGGGCAGACGCGCATGAGCGCCTTCCAAAATCGAGGTCTTTTTCCTTGATGCCGTTTGTTCAATTCTTTTTCCCATTCTTTTTGTAATTTCTCCGTTAATACCTCGGATTTGTCCCCTTCTAACAGTGGAAATAAATCGTCTTCCTCTAATGGTCGCTTGTTTCCAGTGACGAATATTTTGTTCATCCACCATATCGTTAAACGAGAAAATATGTTGGCGTTCAAAACTGGGTTGACTTCCTCCTTCTCATCATCAGCGGGCTTGAGTTTTTCGTACTCGTTCTTCACCATGTTATGGGCCCGAAATGTGATCAGGTCACATTTCGTTAGATTTTCAACTGTAGAAGGAAAGGGTATATTGAGTTACAGCATAGTTACAGTACGAAAGCGTGATAATTTAAATGAAGTTCCGTCTACGAGTGTAGCATCATATTGTATGAGGCGTGTTATGTGTTGCCACGCTTGGTCGCTCGCATTATTCCGAAAAAAAACTCGTTTGTTGAATATTAATAGCCCATTTTCTAAGAGCTCTTAGAAATCATTCAAAGTCGAGATAGAAAAACTACTCAGTACCAGTAATATCCGTGTAAAAGTTACCATTAAATTATAGTTATTAAGAAGATGTAATCACTAGTATAATTGTTATCCCTTACGTACCCGCAACAGTCACTATGATTTCTAAATATTGCAAATATCAACAAAGTCTCGTGTAAAAATGCCCCTCGATCTGTGTCTTTGTGGACTTAATCACGACTACTATCGAAAACCGAAAAATTGAAGTAGATTACCTCTTGAATTTTCTTCTTCTTTCAGATACTTCAAAGTAGTTAAGCCTTCTAAATAAGAGCAACTACGATGCGATAAAAGCGTTAATCGTCGACCTAGGAACTGTTTTGTGTGTTCAATCATAGCTCATCTTCAAAATTTACATCAATATTGACTTGGTGTTGACTGACCTAATTTTATTTTTGGATTAATGTGTAGTTTGTGAAATTGAACAACACACTGTTGTCAGTTCTCTTTGACGGAAGGAAGGACCATCAACATGGCAACATTTGAAGATTTTTACTGTTAGCCAGTAATCTTTGTCAAGTTTGCCAGTTGTTCCAAAATATTGAGCGTAAAACAATTGTTTTCCATCTGAAATGTGGACGAAATCAAATGATGATCGGCAACTTAAAAAAAAAAATTTCGTGTAGTAAAAAACCGTTTCCCTTCTGTTTGCCCAGGAGACATTTTCAGCGGTACACAATACATTGGAGTGACGGAGAAGGCCTGAAGTATAGTTTTATCGCAGAGGCTTGAAATGAGAATTTTATTATCGACGACAATAAAAAAAAAAAACAATTTGACCAATTACACTATACACAACCAGAATTAGGTGAAGCTATTTCCCTCAACGGAAAATTAGTAAGTTGTAGTTATCGCTATCTTTAACTGATTTTACTCTAAGAACCGTATGGAATAATAACAACTTGTTTTCATGCAGCAGCTGATAATATTTCAGAGGCTATTATGAAATGGCTAGCATTTATTAATTTTTGCGAAAAAGGACGGTATAGAAATACTTAAATTATGAAAATAGCTGAACAGGCTAAACAGTTCCTTGGAAACTTAGTGTTTGTCGGTAAAGGGTAAAAGCCTTTTGCGGGAAAGAAACATTATTCCTCTCGTTCAGTGTAACGTTGTTTCGCATCACGGCCATCATCCGCTGGCTTCCCAGTAAAAATATAAAACAAAAAAAGTACGTAAGAGACGATCAGAAGAGAGAGAGAGAGAGAGAAAAATAGTTATCTTCTTTTAGTATTTACCAAATCAGTGAATAGCAATTTTTGCGCGTTTTGATTGGCTCCCGTAACTCGGAATATTCTTGGCTACTTTACAGACGTGCCAAGAAAAATAAATAAATAAATAAAAATAATAATAGAAGGAGAAGATCCTATATAAAAATAAATACACAGTTAAAAATTGTCCAAACTAATTAAGAGAAGATCACGAGATTATTACATAATTTTGTAAAAGTTAAGCAAAATGTTTTTACATGTAATTGCGTGATTAAAATATAAAATTTGAGAAATCCAACCTAGACATCAAGTTCTTAAATGTTCCGATTTTATTAGTGGCTTGAAACTGATCCGGACGAGCGTTCCAAATCTTAGCTGCAGTATAACACCGCGATTTTAGTCCATAGGTGATTGTATATATACTTTGGGTAGCCCCGAGGATGTGTTTTCCTCTAAGATTAATATATAGATTTTGTGAGGGCTAAAAGCGAACCTGTCATTAACAAATTTATAATTTAAATCAAAGAATAAACTTGTAATCCACAAATCTGTTAACTTAAGGGCACATTCATGTTACTTAATTTGAGGGAAAGGCTAAGTGTTTTAGAGTGAAACATCTTACATCGAGTCAAAAATAGCAATCATCTTCGATCATATTCAAGAGCCTACATTTAAGGGCTCTTGACCACAGTGGATTAGGCCTGGAAAACAAATTAAGCAGAATTTTTTGCGTTGGACAAGTTCTTTACAAAATCTTGCCAACAAATCTGGGGGCGTGTATTAACCAACCTTTTATACTTTTTATACATCACATCTGAGGTGAAACAGTACTATAAGACACTGTTTTTATCATACAATCCTCGGACAGAATGCAGTATTTCACAATTTTTCATGACAAATTGCACTCATTCAATATTAGGACGATCAATCGTGCGCTTTTAGCGAAACCTTTCAAAAATTTTCCCGAAATCACCTCTACCTCTGGCATGTTCAACCTGGTCGATAAATTCTTTAGACTTTAGACAATTGAGTGTAAATAAAGTGCATTCATCAAAAGAATAAGACAGGTCATTCGTGAAAATATTAAAGAGAATGGGACCCAAAATTGATCCCTGGGGGACACCCTTCATTATAGTTTTCGTAGAAGAGTGTTGTTGTCATCTGACGCGTTGTTGTCGGTCACTTAAATAATTCGTAACGAGGTTGATAACTTTGAGTCTCCATCGTAATCTTCAAGCTTTTTGACAATAAGATCATGGGGAAGGGTGTCAAACGCTTTTGACAGGCTCGAGGCTTACCAACAAAGAAAAAAAAAACATAGAAAACTTAAATTTTAATCGGTGTTGCACATTCTGTTATTTCATTTGAGTCATGATGATCTGAACATTTGTCTGTTTCCTAGTCTCACTCTAAATTCTTTCTCTGTGATGACAAAGTGGTATAATTGCTGAAATAGCAAAACTCTCTGTACAAAAAATCATGAGAAACAAAAGGTAAGCAATTCAAAATTTTTGACGATGCATGTTGTACCTTGTAGTTGTTTTGTGAGTGTAGTAGTTCAGTAAAATCCTGATCACGCTATTACATACAACCTCGAGTCCTTCAAGCATACTTTTATTGAATTGTAAATATGAACGCTTATCACGGTAATTGGGCATTCGTGCTCTCAAACGTACTTGAGCTCCTGCTAAACTTTAGGTCGACTTACTTTGCTTGCAGAGTATGAAACGACCATGCATGATAATCAGAAACGAACCTAGCGAATTATGCAAAGTCACTACTGGATTTATATTTTTATTTCGTCTTTCTATATAGTGACGCTGATACCACTATTCTCTAAAGTTGTAAAATACATGCACTATTTAAGCAGTCTCTGCGCCCAAAAAGATCTGTTTTGAAATCTGAAAAAAGTCCCCTTTCACTGAATATGCTAACGACTCTCAGTGGGGGGAATAGGAACTCGTCACAGTAACTTTGACAAAAATCAAAATAACAGAAGAATCTGTGCCTGGTGAAAGAGCCTTTTCCTTGACGCAATTAAAAACAGAACCCATCATAATCGAGAGGCACTGTCTTAATGCTACTTACTGATGACCTTGATCATGAAGATCTTGTTAGCATGTATATAACACTTAGGAAAACTTTGTAAAGTTGCGTTTTGTCAAAATACTATTAATCTACCAAGCCTACTTTCGAGACAGTCTCATTGCTTGTTGATATCATGAGTGACAAGTTATGCTCAAAATCATGGTTGTTTGACTTTGCTTATATTATTAAGTCGAGATCTCTAAACATTGCAAAGTTATAAGCATATATTTTAGCAACCTGGCCGTCGTAGATTTCCTTTCTGAGGAAATATAAGTCAGCCAATTCCACTACAAATGTACTTTTAATTTAACTATCTGCTTCTTTAGTTCGAGCATAGCGAATACGGCGCAATAGCCATGAAGCCCGACATATTGCTTTTCGAAATGTTTTTGCTCGCGTTTTTCGAATCGACTGTTTACAACGTTGAAACGCGCCCCATATTTTAGCAAAGCACAATGTATGCAAGGAAAATCAAAAGATTGTACACGGTCAAGCATTTCCAAAGTTCATTTTACCGCTTAGAGATAATAAGATTAAAAATAAGTTAAAACTAATGTTACAGACATTTCGACTTTGCCGCTTTCAGGCTAGATACCAGATCCTCCAAACCCAAAACCATGAAAGCGATATGGGGAAAAAAGTACCCCCCAAAATGTGACGACTGGGACCTCAAACCTGGTCAGGAGAATTCCAAAATATGCGTGAAATGAAAATAAAAAGGAAGATTACTTAACTCGTGGTATTTTCTCCATTTTATTCTTTTGTGGCCATTGTGAATAATGAGCTCTTCAAATAACTTTATTCCTATCTGAAGTTGTTGGCAATTTCAATCTTTTCTGATCGCGCTTCAGATTTGGAGGTTAAATCGTGAGACCGTGAGTTGATGCCTAAACCGTAAGTCTCACGTTCGAAACCTGTGTGTTGACTTTCACGTATGTTCCGTACCTTCCACGACCATGTTTTATGACCAGAGAATATGTTGTCAAGCAAAAAGGTTTTCAATGCCTTTATTTCTCCTTGAAAGGAAACCTATGGTGCTGAAAACGAGTGAGGAGGTTTCCGCGGATGCAAATCTTATTTCTCATGATATTGTATAAACGCTATGCATGCAGCATAAACGGTTCTACGTCTTGTAGTAGCGTACAGTGAAGAGTGTTCGCCACTATCTGATGCCGTCCGCTCAGTTTTTTCCCTGATTATAAGCCTTAATGGTTAAGAACAGCTTTTCAGATCAGCAAGCGATAATCTGTGTGCACATTCTTTGCTTTTTGGGCCATCTTTCGAGAATGAGTTAGCATTTATAATGGCATTTTAAGTTTCATATGACCATCATTTTGTAGAGCTAGTTGTCAGGTATGGCCATGACTGTCTTTATAAGCTTGCATATGCAAATGCAAAACTAGAGAGCACTGAGGCTTAATAGTTGAGGTTATGGGAAAAATTATACCCACAAAAAAAATGATAACAGTTTCTTGGAGTTCCACCATTCTCCTTACATAAGGATACCAAAATCATAGAAATCGTTAAATCTTTCCCGATTAAAAACGCCTTGATGCAAAAAAGGATGGGATCACATAAATATTACTTTAAACTTAACTACAATGTAGGTATTTTAAATCTGGTTTAACAAGAACTGATCAATTCAAATTGAGTTAAGCGCCTTTATTGACGACTGTTCTTGAATTTGGCATTTCACTCCGTTAAAATTGAAGAAACAGAGACATTAATATGTAAAGCCAGATGTATTTTCCAGTCTTCTAGATAAACTGGAATTAAATTAAAATTTAACTTTGGCGTTTTTATGTATGACTATTGCCTACAATTTAGAATGTATCTGGCTAGCAACGACAAGACTAAAAACTAAAAACACAACTTCCAAATGTTAGAAAAGGGCTAAATGTAGTTCAAAGGTCCCGAATAACTCACGTAGTGTTTTAAAACTGACACATTTCTCGGTTTTATTTTACAGACGGATTTCTGTAGTCCAATTTTCTTTTTCGGTAAATAGAATAATAACCTGACCTTTTTTGCTTTTATCTCCCAGGCATGAAATAATTTTAGGTTTTTCCTCAGTATTTGCCCGGTATTAATTCCAATATCAACCAACTTGATCGTATCATAACAGACAACAGGTAACCTGCTCAACTTTTCAAAAGTTTACAAAACATTTTTTCATAATAATAGTGATGAGTTATTTCCTTCTTATAATTTTCAAGACATATTTTAAAAAAGCACCTCCCTTAAAGTCAAAGTATAAGTATTTTAAATTTTTGGTTCCAAAGTTAAGAAAAAATAAAATGACAAAGACATTTATCCCGTTTTAGGAAAGTTCAATGTTCCACCTCACTCGACATGGAACAACAAAAACTATTTAATAAACCATTCAAAATTTAAGAGGGACAGAATTAGTCTTTCCGAAAAATGCTCTGTAGGAAAGAAACTTTCTTGTATCTTTGTTAAAAATTAAGTGTAGAAGGTCAAATTGCTTCCTTCGTCATGAAATAATGCGTACGGATATCTCTGTTAACCAAAGTCTTAAACTTACTTGCATGTTTTCATTTCCTTATGCGACGATGAGAAGTTCCTGGTGTAAAATGCCATAAGACTCCTACCAGCCACATGTACAACCCCATTCAGACCTCTTATGACTGTGTCAGGTAATCAATGGCTTGCACTATCATTTCTTTTCTTATAATCCAATGACTTATTGAATAACTTGTGTCACTGAATCTTCACCGAACAGTTACGTCAGGGAGGAATGTAATGAAGTCAAATGTCGAGAATTCCTGGGTTCCATGAAACCCAACACTCACCGAATTTGCGCATGTTCAAGTCAGCGGTGTAGTGAACAGTGGCTCATTGTTTTGACTATAAATTTAGACAATTTAGGGCCATCCCCCGCTTCTTTCTCGTTTAGCGTCGAATGCATTTCCTGATTTTGGGTCGGTCGGTCGGATTGAAAAAAAAAATCAGAAGAAATCTCGGAATAGGAGGCCCTGGTACCCCAAGATAACGTTAAAAGTTGACATTTACATATTTGGATTAACAAAATGCACAATATACTGTAAAAAATGTTCCTGTTTTTGTTCCTGTTTTGCTCTATGCTGTTACTATGCTCAGTTTTCAGACTAAAAGAATTATTTCAATTGAAAAATGGTTTGACTATGTCGTTACTTTTTTTTTTGGAAATGCCAAAAATTTGGGTCGGTCGGACGACGCTAAACGAAGATAAAAAAAAAGAATGGCCTAACCGAGGTCAGGGCTAAAAGGGCTCGCTCTGTTATCCTATGATCGCAAAGTTAATTTTATGTTATTATTACTCTTTTTTTGTCATTCGAGACACCCCTCTGTAGCAGATCCAGTGGAATCTGTATCGTCACCGGGTTCTCGGAGAATAAGTCCTTGGGTTGGCTAATTTTCCACTGTTTTGTTTTCTTAGTTGTGTATCTCCCACAAAAGCGAAACAGGCCGGGTGGCAGGCCTTACATCTGACCGTTATGAAAGCTTTGAAAACCTTTCACATATTGCTTTATTGAGAAGAACTAAAAGACTTACCCCTTTTTATGCGAGATCGATCACCTGTACAAAACCACCGCTCAAGAATGCAAAAAGTCCACTTCCGATTGACGTGCGTCGCTCAAAACGTCTTTGTTTGAGCCCCCTATTTTAGCATGGCCGCGGAAGATGCGAAACACTTTATGAACTGGTAGCAGTTTCGACTGCATTGTTGTGAAAAGAAAGAAAAAACAAACGTGCAGACGGCGCTCTGGCTTAACTAACCAGTTCGCCACTTTAAACAAAACCGAGGTGGGAACTGGGTCAAGTTAACTTTCGCAAAGGCTTCTGGGACTGTTACTAGGGACGGGGAACAACTGAATTGGCCAATAGCTGACGAGCACGTCCACAGAAACGATCCCAGAAGTAATTCCGAGACGCATTTCGGCCCCAGTTCGCTTCTCGTTTTCAAAGTGGCGAATGGGGATAGGCTATGCTCACATGAAGTCACGTCCGTTCTACTGTGTCTCAAAACAGTAAAACGGTGGCCATGTTGGTGTCCCTAGTTCTAATTCTGTAGAAATCGAACCCTCCCTTTTCTTATGTTATTATAAACAAAGCCACTGCCAACCTAGCCTGCGAAAACAGCCGCTTCTCCTCGCTCTTCGCCGCAGGGACGTTTCGCACGAGGAACGTCTGCGTCTCAGCGACAGAAATTCCATACTGATGACGTAAATCAATGTTTACATAATAAATCCGGTAATCATGGGGTTCCAAATGCAAATTTGTTTGATTTTATGTTTCTCCTCGTTGATTTTGGTAAGCTGTTGGGTTAATCTGGCAACAAGCTCCAGCAAAACTCAAATGTTTCTTCTAAAGAAGACTATATTCCACAAATATTGACTGTTTTGTTAAACATTCATCGCGTTTACATTTGACCTTTGTGCCCTTTTGTTATTTGTTTATCATTCGTAAACAATAGCTAAAACAATGTAACAACTCCGTCGACCAATCAGCATTTCTGACCGGATTCCAGATAGATTTTACGTCATCAGTATGGAATTTCTGTCACTGAGTCGCAATTCAACGACCTGCTCCTAGTTGGCTTCTTACCTCAATTGGTATAGAGCGCTGCACCGGTATCGGAGAGGTCAAGGGTTCGAATCCCGTGCAAGCCCGAATTTTTTTCAGGCTTTCTTTTCGCAACTCCAAAGTTGCGTCTATAACTACGATGATCGTCTTTCATATAAAATTCAAACCGTGGGAGCTGCCATCAAATTTAGTGAAACATAAAAATAACGACTCAAAACTTGGCAAGAAGGTATAAATAAGACAGCTAACAGAAAAGAAAAAACGGATGAACAAACTTGAAGAGGATTGGAACGGATTGAAAATTGCGGGTTTTGAAAACATGTCAGCCTAAAATATTTTCAAATTTTATTTTTGTTGTCTGTAAAGTATGATTTAATGCTTGACATGAAGCTGTGATTTTGTAATTTACCAGTAATAAATTTCCTTGCTAACCTTAAGTTCCATTCCGAGTAAGAACCAGACGTGACACATTCCCTTTATTTTTATCTACCACCACTAAAGGCTGGTTGCCAATGGTGACATGAGCCGTCAAAATAGAACTATTCGGCTAACTCAATGTTGTACCCAATTGTTTCAGCAATTTCCAGATCATTTAAAATGTGAATACCACATTACAATGCAAAATACAATACACAAAGAAACTTAACCCCAGGGAGATTTGAATTGGGTACAACACTGAGTTAGCCGAATAGGTCTATGGCAACAACAGTTTACGAAAAGTTATTAGCATCAGCGATTACACAACAAGAAAACAATGCAAAGCAACATTTTGCCGTTGTTTATTTAGAGTCTACAAGTTTATAACAAGACATTAACAGGCAAATCTCTACGCTAACCCTTTGTCACAGACAAAGTAACTACACGAAATTTGAAAAAGAAAGAAAAAACGAAAGTCGTTAGAACTGCCAGGCTCCCCAACTTTCAGTTTCGCGCAAATAACTCGATTGGAAACGCTTGCTACGCAGGCTAGCCAAAATACAACACTTAATCCTTTTTATGAATAAGAATGAATGAGTGGCCGCTTAAAGCAGCCTGATAAAAAATGGCATAGACTGTTCGGCAATTACCATAGGTGGTGACCGTCGTTAACCGGGACGGTCGCTTATAAGAGCTTTTCATCATGTTTCAAACGTGGTTTCACAATCGTGGACGTAATTAGAGCTAGTCGCTTAGGGGCGAGCTTTGATTATAGCTACTAATCCGATAGGATATCAAAACTACAAAAAAAATTATAGAAAAGGTGAGTTTCTAAACCACTCTAGCCAGTATACCAGAGGATTTTTTTCTCGCGTGCGGCGATTGAGTGCGGCGGAGATGCTTCAGGATCAGTCGCATGCCGAATCCACAAGCAGCGAGGCCGCAAGAAGAAGACTTTTCACGCGGGTCAGTATAAAGACTTAACCACACCGTAATTTTTATGGAGTTATTATAACTCCAAAAATGGAGTAAAAATTTTAGGTACAGGATAACCCCTTTTTGGGGGTTACTTTAACTCCTAATTCAACTCCGAATTTGAGGTCATTTTTACTCCTGAAAAAGAGTTCTTTCTACGCCCAGTCTGGAGTTAAAATAACTCCGAAATGAGGTTATTTTTACTCCTTACATGGGTTGTTTTTACTCTTTTTAGAGCTAATTTAACTCTGAAAGTGGAGTAAAAATTTTAAGTACAGGATAACTCCTTTTTGGGGGTTATTTTAACTCCTCAATATCTGAGATCACTTTTACTCCTGAAAAAGAGTTCTTTAAACTCCTTTTTGGAGTTAAAATAACTCCCCCCAAAATAACTCCACTGTAAGGAGTTAAACTAGCCTCACTAGAGGAGTTATTATAACTCCTTGAAAATTACTGTGCAAAACAGGAAACCACGCATGAAAAGTCTCCAGCACCCACAGTGACACTGTTCGGAATATAAAAAAATAAACTTCAGAGCCGGGTTGTTCAAAGCTGGGTTAAGATAACCCAGGGTTTGCCTGAAATTTGAATTCGCATATGAAAGTTAAAATGCCAAATTTAGTTTAATTTCCTTTATGAACAATTTGTTCAGAGAATTCTCAAAATGCTCAAAATTATCGGAGAAACTGCTTTAGAGCAAAAGAAAAAGAAACCCGGCTTGGCTCTAATCTACCTTCGAACAACAGGGCCCAGATGTTTTTAGAATTTACAAAATTAGAAAGAAACAATTGAGAAAAATAACGCAAATAGCCATCACTCAACATTGCTCATTTTAAAAACCCAAGCCCATTTGCAGGGCATTTCAGAGACAGTTAGGGACGGTACAGAAATCATAATTCCACTATGACTTGTTAAAGCCTTCCAAGGGATTTTCACATCAGGCAAGCCAAGCAGATTCACAGTGGTAGTCGCTGTTGTAATGGGTACACTAAGACTCAGCGTGCCTGTTGTAGGCCACTCCAGAGTAATGGCGTAGGTAACACCTGGTTTGCTGGTATACCTGCGAAAACACGGTTTCAGTTACACGCGTTAGCGAGTCCCTGATAGCCAGTTATAGTCAAGGCAGGTCAAGCGTGCATATGTACCCCCCAAAAGTAAGTTTAAGATTCCATTAGTGATTTAATATTCAGTCAAAATATTTCCCCGTTTCTGATTGGTTAAAATCACACGCATAATTCACCATAACCAGTTGCTGTTGACCAAATTTGGAAATAATTTTGTCATATTGAACCGATGACGTCAAAATGACGTCAAAAGTGCAGCCTGGTTACAGGTTATTCAACCGTTGACCGAGAAAACCTGGGGACAAGGTTGAGTTGTTTTGGTAGTTAGAACAGACTGGCGGAACTGTCGCGGAACATTTTACTCGTTTCACGGCCAAACATTGTCTAAAAACATCGCAAGACCAGCAAGAAGACAACTCGACGGACAACATCCGCAATCTGGTGTATATTTGCAGACCTGAGCAGACCTAAATCTATTAAACTGCATTATTATTCGAAAGTTGAATCCTTTTCAGATTCATCTCTGCATTCTTGCATGCGTAATGAGCCGTGAATTCGCAGACAGTAATGAAATTTCTACCACCTCAGTTTCCCTGAATTGATGTCAATGTCTTTTAACGTTTTGAACGGTTATTTTTGTTTCACTCAACTTAAACGCAGGCCCCACTGTTTAAATTTTGATATATTTCGTGACAGAGCTCCTCTAAGGAACGTCTTATGAAAAGGCAAATAGCTATACTACATCTCCCACATAACCACAGGTAACCCAGGCTCACTATATGTAACACGTACGGGTTTCATATAACATGAGTAAATATAGAGAACATATGGGGCGAAGTTTAGGTCTGGAAATTTGGCAAGTTTCATCGATTTTTATTTCCATTTTCTAGCAAATTTCCAGACCTAAACTTCGCCCCATATGCTCTTTATATTTACTCGTGTTAAATGAAACCCGTACGTGATACAAATAGTGAGCCTGGGTTACCTGTGATATAACTGCTTACCATATATGAGGAGTTAAGGTATCATTCTGTGTGTGCCAGGGTTTGGTTCCGTATATGGCCTCGCCGTTAACTTTAAGCCAATCTCCCATCTGTTCCAGACGATCTTGGAAAATAGGGTCGATCCTACCGTCTGATGTCGGTCCAATGTCCATCAGCAAATTTCCACCACAGCTATTACAAAAAAGGGTGAAATCAATAGCACATTCAAGGGAACCTCCACTTCAACAAAAAGATAACTTTAAATCACAGGAAATAACTGTTACAGTCAAGTCAATCTAAAATATTTTTAAAGAAAGCGTTCGTATCCGAAAGAAATAACTTTTAGATTCGCCTATTTTTGTTTTCAAATTTTGCGGGCGTCGCCATCTTGAATAATTGTGACGTGTAATGGTTGCCCTATTGTTATTAAACAAAAGCTCTTTGTGTCAGAACAATAGAGCAACCGTAACACGTCACAATTATTCAAGATGGCGGCGCCCGCGAAATTTGAAAGTGAAAATAAGCGATTTTAAAATTCACTTTTCCTGATATAAACACTTTTTTTAAGACAAATTTCGAACAAATTTGTTTATCAACATAATTTTATTCGATTTAAACTTATTCTGTAGTAAGAGTGGAGGTTCCCTTTCAAGACTGATAGTGCACTAGACAATACACCTTTTTACCTTGTATGTTTTGTTTTCCTAGTTTAGACCACGTGATGTTCTCCAGGGAATTGCTTTTGTCTTTTTATTAATTATGCAAACATAGGCACGAGGATACACGTGCATAAGACGACATTTGAAAAAAACAGTTCTGTGGGGTACCATCACGTGGTCTGAAATGTGAAAACAAAACTTCCAACTAAAAACGTCTATTGGCACAGCAGAGGTGGAACTACAGATACATTCGCCCCTAATTCGGATCGTTTGCTGTAAAGTGTTTCAATTCGCCACCAATGTTACCACCACAAATATCACAATTAAAGGGAAAATACTGAAATGGCAATTGCAAGATCGATTGCAAAAAACATGATACAAATGAAGAGGTGGGACTACAGTTATTATTCTCCTCCAACTAGGGCCCTTTCGCCCCAAACTGAGTCAATTCGCCGTCCATTTTTCCACCACAAATATTACAAAAAAGGGGAAAACAAAATAGCAATTACAAGACTGATGGAACAGAAATTTGGCAGTGCAGAGGTGGGACTACAGTTACATTCGCCTCAGATTTTTCAGGCTTTCTTTTTACAACTGCATAACATGCGTACCTTCTACGCATTTTTACTGAAGTATGGCAACAGATTCTATCAAACCATAAAGGCAGGAAGGGGAAAAGCGGGCATACAGGGAATTTTATCTCACCTTACAGCTGAAGCCAGAATAGAGGTCAAGTCATCCATGGTGAGGAAATCTGACAATACCGTGTTTCTGCGATAGCCCCATGATTTCTTATCAACTGTCATAGCATTTTCCCATTTGTGTTTCTGCAAGACACCTAATGAAAGAAACACTGAAAAGCACAGAATGGAAACAGGTCACTGATAGCATACAGATTCATACAAAAAATTGCAACCATTTTTAAGGACTTTTCAAGGACCACCTACAAGTACCAGGAATGTATTTTCCCGGACTGCACAAAAACGCACATTCCCAAACCGTTCTAACAGGACTTTAAGGCTTGAAATGTTTGCTCCACCAACTTCTCTACATTTTTCAGTACACTTGTCTCAAGTTGATACAGCTGTAGATACTTCTTGCATACAACATAAAACGCTCGATGTAAATCACCTTTTACATCTCTGAGCTATGATTCATATTCTGTCTTGGACAACAGTGATGTAACGATTTATTACATCCACTTTGAAATCACTGGCTATCCGTGCAATCTGATTGGCTCTCAGCGGTGTGATTTATTCCTAAATCGCACCATTTTTTGCTCTAAATCGCATCTGTTCCAAATCGCGTCATTTATGTTCTAAATCGCATCATTTATGTTTTAAATAGCACCATTTTTGTTCTATATCGCATCATTTCTGTTTGGAATACAAAAGGAGATGTAAAAGCCTTTTTGTTTCGGCTTTTTAACAAACCGGCTACTTGATCAACAAAATATTAGTACTGACTAAATTCTGCGATTTCAAAATGGAAGTAATAAAGTGGTAATTGAACTTCGTGTCGTGCAATTTTGGTCTGAAATCATACTTGCGATTTCAAATTGAACTCGCGCTGCGCGCTCGTTCGATTTTGAAATCACGCGTATGATTTCAGACCAAACTGCACTCCACTCAGTTCAATTACCATTATTAATCAAACAGATCAAATTCTAGATTAATCGCGATTATGACCGGTTCGGTTCACGATTCTTTGCTTCCACGATTCGATTTTTGCATACCTTATTCAGGGTGCCCTCAGTGAGTTATTATATTGTAAAATCAGAATCCAGAGCTCTTTAAAATGTGCGTTTTTGACTGACGAGCAAAGACGATTACAGTTCATGCGCCATTTTGTGTTGCGTGGTAAAAATGCTGTCCTTCAACCACCTCTTGAGAATTTTTAAATAAGGCAAACCATGTTGCGCTTTGTCAGTTTCTCAAACATGGCGACGAACGACCAAGCGACTGTGAATCCTCCTGTCCTCTTACTATTCTCAAATTGAGGGGTTAGGGTGGCATGTTGTTTACATTACGTGATATATAGATTTAGCCAGGCAAAAAATAGCAAACATCATCGATCGCATTCAACATCACAGTAGATTAGGCCTCGAAAACAAATTCTTGGAAAACAAACCGCGCCGTATTTTCTTGCGTTCGACAGCTTTACTTTATAAATTCTTGCCAACAAATCTGGGGGTGTGTAAACCAACCTTTTATAATTTTTATACATCACGTCTGAGGTGAAACAGTACTATTTATCATACAGACCTCGGACAGAATGCGGTATTTCACAATTTTTCAAGACAAATTGCACTCAGTAATATTTAGGACGAGCAATCGTTGGCTTTAAGTGAAAGCGTTCAAAAAATTTCCAAAATCACCCATACGGCTAGCCGGTTCTCATTTCTATAGTGCGAGCTGTCAGTGTGGTCGAGTGTTTGAATGAACTTTAATAGAGTTACGCTTCAACATAATGACGAATTTATTATTATTATTTTCTTTTATTTATTGGTTTCAGTTATAACGATGTGTAATCTTATAAAGCGTTTCATACGCGTGACATTTTTGAGTGCTCCTACAAGCGATGTTCATGAACGATGAAAACAAACGGCACGGACAAGCAATTAAAATTGCAAGAAAGACTACTAACAATCAATAAAAGAAATATAATTCGGTGAAACATTTACAGAGACAACAATTTCCATTCACGAAGACAAGTATTAAAGTGTCTCTAAAAATCCCGAGTCTTAAAGCGTAAAGCTTAAGTCATGTTTTAAGCCGGCTTCTCAGTGCGGTGTTTACTGTTTTCAAAGATGAACTCCTCGAAGCAAGAAAATCGCACAAAGTTTTCTTTCTACAACCAAATTTATAACTAAATATTCTTCGGAACCTTTTCTCGCTATGTGCGGTGAGAAAATATATCTGAAGGCTTTTTAAAGTTCTGTAAGCTTATATCAAACTTGATACTGGGTCAGATCATTGACTGAAATCCTACAATCGTGCATAAACTTGCCGCATTGACTGTGCTTCATGAAATTAGATATAACAAAAACAAACATCAAATACAATAATTACTCAGGCTTACCATTCAAGATTCAGTTTCTGAAAGCTATCAAGGAAGGCCACAGTTGCTTGAGACTTTTAAACACCCTTACGCATTAAGCAAGGTGAAAAACGAAAACGATGCCATCCGAAATCGAATTACCGAATTTTGACAAGCGACGCATTTCTCAACCAAAAACCTAGTAAACAAACCAGCCATGAATAACAGAAGACTCTTGATAGCAGCTGTATTTCATTTTGTACATCAAAACATCAGAAGTTGACACAAAACTCTGTCAGCTTCAGCTGTCAAGGTAAACAACTTTCAAGATGCTGCATAAATTTTCCGCATGAACTCACCTGTCAAATTTTGACCAATCAGAGCATAAAAACTGGACATAGAGCGTGACCAACGCGTGACCATGGTAAGAAAAGGTGTTCCCCGCCTGTATTTTGAAAAAACTGCCTGAATTTTCGCGTCCGAGGTCACTTTGAACTCAAAATCCTAATAGTGTGGGGCCATAGTGACATAAACACAACATACTTGAAATGAATCATTGGAAAAAATAAACTTGAGCCTACGATCATTGACACACTGGGTTAAAGTATAAAAATACTCGACCTCGATGGGTCGACAACTGTGCCTGCGGTACGGTCAGGTGATACTGGTCAGCGGATACCCTGTTTTGACAGCTGTCAATTGATGACAACATTGATGTGCAGTTAGTTTTCTCTTGGGCTCCCAAACTAGCTAGAGTGAGTGTGAGAGTAAACATTGGTTTTCCTGTGGTGCGGACGGACGGTCGGTGTACGGTCACGTGATTACCAAATTTTCTCGGATGGGTAGATTACGACATTTCCTTAGCTATGGGGCTCCGCCCACGCGCAGCTCCGCTAAATGTTGTAAGAATTAAGAAACATTCACAGAATCAAATTGAAAGGCAATGATCGAAATCCGTTAGACCCCTACTACACAACCAAAAAGTATTAAAAAACACTTTTCAGGACACTACAATCCAAAGTTGGCGAGCATTCAAAAGGACTTTTCAAGGACTTGCACAGAAATTTTAAGACTTTTCAAGGGAAAATGGAATTCAAGATTTAAAATTCCCCAAAACTTCCAGGACTCTTTAAGACTGTGCGAACCCTGGCAAAATAATGTTTTGGAACTGAAATTATAGAGAAAAACTATAAATCTTTTTTTTTTTTTTAATAAAAACCAGGATACTTATGGACAGGTCTTAAATGTTCACAATGTGATTTGAAGGAAATACATGTAATGTACACGTAACTGCAGTAATGTGCAAAGCAGAAGGATAGTAATACCTGGGTTGTACCGATCAGCACAGGTATATGCGCCACCATGGCGACACCTGCAGCCAACGCCCCAACGGTCATTCACCACAACTGTATCTTTCACAGGGCTGTGTGAGAAAAAAAACAAGCAAACAAACAAACATGTAAATTTGGCTATATTGCCGACTTTATTTGTAAGATTGATTCCCTGTATTTTTTCAGGAATCTTTATGCAACAGTGCCCATAATTTTGAACTTTATAGCTAATACAGCATTTGGGGCCCCTCTGCCCCATATTTTCTGAAGCTTCCAAAACAGAATGCTGCAAACCATTTGATTTTCCAACTCAAATTTCAGCTTTACGATATAAATGGTAAGGGAAGGACCATTAGAAAATGTAGTTTCTTTTTTTTTTTTGGGGAAATTGGGGGCGATGAGGGTGGGGTGGGGAAAAGTTTCTCTCAAAATGCTATCCTATCGATATACAGTGTATATACATAAAGATATGTACGCACAATTCATCAAAAGACAAAAAGCAATTTCCCTGGTCTGAAGTGGGAAAATAAAACATACAAGTAGAAAAGGTCTATTGAGGGTATACCTTTAAAAGGTTAAAAGGTAAAAGTTTTGTCTATAGTGGAAAAAAGCACTTACATATCGCAGCTCCATCTAGTTTTTACAGGCACTCAACTCAAATTATTATTATTAGAGGCTTTCCTTAAGAAGGTAAGGTAAAGGGGAGGAAAGTATTACCAAGGCCATAGGTGGTTATTCAAAGAAATATGAGTGGTACAGTGCATACGCCATACCTGTCATTGTATAACCAGGCCAAGAATTCTTTACTCTTCCAGTAGGTATCAGGTGCCTCCCATTCTCCATCAGACCAAATATACTCAGGTCTATAGGTGTTTACAAGGTCATAGATTTGAGGCACCATGACGTCCTGCAAAAAAAAAAAAAAGGCCTGAGCCTAAGCCTGAGGAAACAGCAAACATTTTGCAATACCACCACTGGTTTCCGGAATTTCCAGTGAAATAACATCTGAGGAAAGAGCACAGGAAATTACATACTGATGATATATTACTACTCAGATCTGGGAAGTGCTTGTGATCCGTCTTACAACTGTATCATGAGGGAAATTTGCCTCAATGAATCAAAAGCACTACCTAGATCTGGGGAGTGGCATGTAATCTGAGTATGGAATAACCACGCTCATTTCTCTAAAGTCATTCAGAGGGGGGAAACCAGTAGTCACGTTGAACACATTAGGCGACATTTCACTGCAATATGTCACAGCGGCAAATCACAATCTGATTTGGGGCCACTTGAAAAGCAACAATAATTCTGTTACAGAGGAACCTTGATTTAAACCTCTACAGTGTATACAATGAAGTCCTCAGTATAACAAACGATTTTCTTTATCCCAGTGATAGTAACATAATAAGAATTATATGAACAGGCCATCTGATATTAGGCGATGGTGCGATTTCACACAATTGACCTTACATCGCATCTGATTGCACAATTTGAGGAAAATCGCATAATTCGTAAAAAAATGCTAAATTCAAGTAAAGTAAACAATGAATTCCAACTTTAATTAAACATTTTCTCAGTCTTAATGTTATTTAACGCGATTTACCACTAAAGAAAGCCTTGGAAGACATCTGAAACCTTTGATCGCGGTATCTGGGCAGCCATTTTGATTTCAGTCAGACAAGCAGTGTGGTCAGTGGTGTGATGGCATCATGTAATATTAAACAAGTGTCCTTTTTCTTCTCTGGGTCAAGATAATTGGGCAAATTTGACTATTTTGTTTTAAAAGAGATGTTTTCTTTTTCCTTTACATTAAAATTGCCTGTTAAACAACATTAAAGTGGTTTTTCTCCTTTGAAAACTGGTAAAATAATGTAAATTAGCCCTGAAAAAATCACATCAATTATAGTCCTGTCTTATCGCACAATCTACCCTGAAAATATTGCACAATTTCTGCTTTTTTATCGCACCCTATCAGATGGCCTGTATGAAAACAAAACCTCCTCATAGCGAACAACTTTTGCCAGTCCCTTGGCCCTTCATCATATTGAGTTTCCACTACACAGAAACAAAGATTTTGAAAGTACACACAAATTGCTGTGATGTGTTGCTGTAATGTAACTTGTTGCCTATGGCATGTTCCCACCTTAACTTCTCGATACAGTCAAACCCTGTTAATACGGACTCGGAAGGGAACACAGAAAGTGACTTTATTAACAGGCCTGGTGTCCGTATTTAGCAGCTAGAAGTCCTTTTTAAAGCAAAAAAAACCTTTTACTAGAACAAAATACCACAGAAATAAAAGAGGACATAAGCATCATCAAATTGAACTTCTGTAACCCTCAACAAAGCTGTAATTACGTGGAAACACTTGAAAATCGCTCATTTATAGTATAACTTAATCAAAATTAACCCTTCACTGCATAACTCGTTTGAAGCCAAAAAATTGATGTCTACAAAATCATCCTATCCAGTGTATGCAAGTGCTAGGAACATCGACATGCTGTCAAAGGAAGGTTTTTTACCTTCAAAAAGGGAAGGTCTATTATGGCACACAGTTGATCATGAAATGAAAATTGAACCAAAGGATAAAAATTGAACCACAACATCTAAATATCTACAGCTGTACATGCATACATGTACATGCATAATATTATACTAGTTCTTTATATGGCAAGCAGTTGTCTCAATGTTGTTGATAATAGTATTATTTGTTTGATATGCATTTACTTACATCAACATAATCTTATGTTTGAAATTTATTGGCTTTGTCTTTGAGGTAAAGAGGGTGAAACCACTCAAACAATGAAAAGTACAAGCCAAACGTGACATTGGTGCGTTTCCTGATGGATGATGCAAGTTCACCTAGTTGAACAAATGATAGTTAAAAAAAATTTTCTCGCTTTTCATATACACTGTACAGAATTTTATAAAAATAACTAAGACAGTACGCACGATCTGATTGGCCAAGAGGCGTGTTTGCACGAGAGTATGTAAACAGGGTTGTGACATCAAGATGTTTTGCTTTTCGTGCGCTAATCACGCAAGTACGAAATTGAGAAAGGTTTTGAGTTGAAAAACTCGACAAGTTTACTTTATTTACCCATTTCCTCGTCGGTTGAAACTTGAAAAATCTTTAGAAATATTCTGTGTCTATTTTTTTTGGCTCGGGCTGTCATTTTAAGCGAGAAAAACTCGTATTTTGGAAAGCATCTTTTTTGCAAAACAAAGACTGATTCCCGACCTATCCAATCGAACAGTTCGGCAATCGAACCCAATGGAACACCAATCGTTCGATTGCTGAACTCAATCAAACATAATCGAATTCACAATAAAATTTTGCCAATCTAACACAATCGAACGTTCCATTACCGAACGATTGGTAATCGAACCCAATCGAACGTTTGATTACCGAACGATTGGTATAATCGAACGTTCGATTAAAGGACGCCGCATCACATGATAGGCACGTGGTATTGGAAAATTCCGAAGGTGAAAGTGAAATCACCGCTAACTCCCTTCCCTTTTTACGCGGCTTTTGCTGAGCACTGAAACCCAGGACTGAAATGTCTGAAATGTCAAACACGGAGGAGAGGGAGGACACTGCATGTATTGAAATTACATGCAGTGTAAAAGGTTACCAAGAATGTAATTTTACTGTTGACGTGGGAGAAGAATTCTTTATCTTTACAGTCACAGTACCTTAACAGTCATCGAAATTGCCTTTTATTTGTTTTGTTTTGTTCGAACATTGACATTCTTGCAGTATGATGTTCAGTTCCTGTTTATTCAATAAAAGCTGACAATGATTATATTCCACGCGTTTTACTCAGTTTGAGGCGTCAAGAGACAATTGCATTGGATTGGTTCGATTTTGTTCGATTTTGTTCAATTATATTGGTTCGAAAATCGAACTCACAGCAAAATAGGAGTTCGATTTTGTTCGATTGCCCAACCCAATCGAACGATTGGAGTTCGATTGGGTTCGATTGGTTTTTTGTCCGGTTTTGTTCGATTGGATAGGTCGGGCTGATTATACATGCAAGCTTCATGTACAAGACTTCGCGACTGGTAAGAATTTCTCTTTTGATCAATGCTCTAAACAAGAGAGTTTTGCTTTTTTCTTGACAGTTATGCAAACCCTTGACTTTGTCTCGGGTTTGCATAACTGTGTTGAATTCTCCCAACCCCTTGAGTTTTTATATCAGGCTATGCAAACACGGAAAACATTTTCTATTGCTTAACTGTAAATTCACTGCAGAACATCCCGTACGAAACGAGCAGCGCTGCTGCAGCGCTGCAGAATGACTTCAAGAAGCGCTACAAAAGAGCTGCAAAAGGGCTGGCTGCAGCAGTAGCAAAAAATGGCTGTTTCGCGCTGCAGGGAAAGCCCTTTGACAGCGATAAACAGCGCTGTTGCAGCGGTGCAGAAAATTCCCGAATCACGATCTGCGCTGCAAAGTGGCTGCAAAGTGGCTTCGAATTTTAAGACAAAGAATGTTGTTCCCGGTAATGTCCTACCACTCGTTAGTACAAAAAAAAGAAATGCAGACTTCAATAATACAATAACCACGAAACATGGTAGAGAAGTTGACAAGGCCTTAGGAGGAGTAAAAACCACTAGAAAGTCAAAATGCAACTGATACTTTATTAGTATCTACGCCATTTATCGCTACAAAAAGCAAGTGACATAACAAATCTGCAGCAGTCTCGCTTTGTAAATATTCAGCAATCATGGTCACTCATCTAAATGTAAGAACATCCATTAACATGCAGATATTGTAATTTATCTTTTATAAATATAAAGAGAATAACAACGATTGTTCTACACAAAGTTTACATGGACAGCAGCCAAATGATATTTTGATTCGTTGCAACGGGTTAAGCCTGACATCGCTCACCTTAACGTTTTTTCCATGATGCACGATCTGCTACACTTTTTTCATGAAAGAAATCAACCCAATTTTACTTTGGTCGTCGTTAAATTTTACAATGGATTAAGGAACGTACATTATCGTTGAACGCGTTTGAATCTTGTAAATGCATTCGCACCCCAGCGAAGATTCTGGCATCTGTGTTGCTTGCTCTGGTTCGATTAAATCGGCACACTTCGCGTAGAATTCACCGTACAGTGCCGTTGTTTACAAATACCTTTGAGCTGTTCCATCCAAAACATCAACAGAACTTCCATCTCGAAACAGAACTAGATGCAAAACACTTACAAATTTGTATGAATGTTTGCGCCTTTCATTCAACGGTCACAAATGTTTGTCTAGAGATGTAATGGGATCTTATGCAAAAGTGCCGACCAATTAGATTACAGCCTAGAATGTCACCAGGGAATTAACGATAACATTCCCACACTCGCCAGTCACGGAATGAAATTTATTGAAAACATAGAATTTGAAGGTTTATTCAACAAGTGATCTTCCTTGCGCACAAGCTTACTCACATTTCTTAGAGGTACTGTCAAAGTTTTCTCGTTATAAAAGCCGTAATCTGTGGCAAGGCTTTTCTGGCGATTCATGTTATCTCAAGAACGTTGTGCTATCAGATCGAGCGCAGCTGAATTGTAGCGTTACTGCAGCTACTTCGCAGCTTTTGAAAGTCGGCAACTGCGCTGCAAAACCGCTGCCGAGAGCTTCAAAGGCTGCACAGCGCTTTTGCATCCCGCTGCAACTTGAATTAAGCTGCTGTTTGGCTTCTAAAACGCTGCTAAACAGCTGTAATTTAGCTGTACAGCTATTTTGAAGCGATTTTGTGGCGCTGTACAGCGCTGCCAGTTTCGTACGGGATCGGTAAATGCCATGTAAACGTAATATAAATATTTATATACAGTTTTGTCTTACAGTTATTGTGTACATTATAACAATAATATTAAAAAAATATTATTATTATTATTATCATTGTCGTTGTCATAACGTGTAGTTCCAGAAAATATCCAGACCCCACCGGAAAAGTTCATTTTCACGAAGAAAGACTATTAAAGTAAAATAACGAGGCCATTTGTGGTTAGTATACAATGGTTTCCATTTATTAAGTCATCTTGCAACATTAAAGTACACTACACTACCACAAAGTACCCTAATCTGCAAATTTTGCTCATCTCTTACTTTAAATGAAACAGATAAAGTTAATAAGTTGGTTGTATTTGTGAATTTACCATTACGTGTAAGCTTATGATTTGTTTTTCATCTTCATGGGCATATTAATTAATGTTGATAGAATTAACGCCATTTCAGCGTGTATGAATGTTATATTGCAACAAGTCAAACTTTCAACCACAAAATTAAGGCAAAACAAAAATGAGAATAAAAACTCTAAACTCTGAAATGATTACAATTGAAGCGAAACCAAGTTCAATTTATTGTTTTTTGATCGACTGATGTGACGTGATGCGCGATAATGGCTGTAATCTTTGGTGAAATTGACACCATTTCAGCGTGACCGCGATCGTCAATCATCAACATAACACACCTTCAACAACAAAGTTAAGGGAAAATGAAAAGGAGAATAAAAGCTCTAGATTCTAAAATGGTTACAGTATATAGCTTGTGCTAGCTTTCTTGAAGCAAAATTGCCGCTATAGTCAGTTCTTCCATTGACTGACATGTAGTTAAAAATGATCGTATTTTTAAATGTTGGTGAAATTTTGAATGCCAATGCAATGGCAAACATGTTATGCTTTTAAACGGGAGACAGAGAAAAATAACTCAAGATTCTGAGATTGTGACATTTTACTTCCTGCTTTTTGAAGCGAAACATTCTCTGTTTTCCGATTGACTGACGCAACGAGACGCAACGTGATTTGTTGAAAAACGCGTAATGAAATCTACGAGCATGTGATAAAACGACTTGTAGTCACTCTAATTCCTTTGAAATTGCATCCAAAATGCTTTTGGAACAAAGAAAACCTGGTTAAGTTGAAAAAGAACAATCATAATGATATATTTCGAGTTATTTATGTCTTAAGAATGATGTACCACTAGGTTGGTAAGAAGCAATGTTCAAACTTGGGTCAAAAATGAATTGATATTAACCCCCTGGAAAGTGATTTAATTGTCCAACCCCCTCCCCTCTGGAATTTCCTGGGCCTCTGACCCCACCCCCCCCACCCCCCCGGGAGTTTCGCTCAGTGCTGGGGGCCTGGATATCTTCTGGAACCACACAATCGTTATTATTATTATTATTATTATTATTATTATTATTATTATTATCACTCAACATCAAAATAAGCTGTATAATAAGTGGCCAGACAAAACTATTTACGCAAAATAATGTCCACAGCCAGAAGAAAAGTTGGAAGTCTATGACATTTTATAGTGAAATTCGTTGTATCGCACAGTGCGCTTTGCAAACTTCAAAGGATTTTTGGGTTTTTCTGTTCCGCCAATCATCTTAGCGGACCTCTTAGGAAACACATGTTTACTTGTTTGAGTTCAAAAGGTCATGGTTTGTTATTCGTGATTGGTGGATCCGTTTTGTTTGTTTCGTGTTTCAAGGTTTGTTGCTTTGTGATCGTCCTGTTTTGGGCAATAATCGACTAGTTAAGTTTGCTTCGAAGATTTTTCTGGTCTTTCTTTTTCTTGTCACTTGCAAGAATAAAGCAACGCCAGTCTCCTTCCTTCCACATAAAAATCTGCTCACCATCGCGATTTCCTTCGCTATTCTTGAACAGTGTAGAGTCATTCTCAGCCAAGCTGGGAGAGCATGTTATTGTGATTTGTATTAACCCCGCCTTCACTAAAATGATTGACAGAACAGAAAAACCCAAAATCCCTTTGAAGTTTGCAATACACGCAGCGCAATAAAACGAATTTCGCCGTAAGTCTCCAATAATGTTACAAATTTATCTCCCAAAAAATTAAAAATCTCACAGTAAACAGAATGTACTGGTAATGTGTTTCATACCAACAAGATCTCTGTGAGGTCCATTATCCACAGAGTTCCAATTCCAAGTCACATTGGATCTCCAGTTTGTCCAACCTTCATGGTGTTTACTGGTAAGAACAAAATACCTAGAAAAAACAAAAAAAACAACAAAAAAAAGAACATTTGTTGGCATTAGAAGAAACGTCCCTGTAAGCCTATCAAAAAGTTCACCTGGATATTCTAAGAGCTGCAATCTGTGACATTAAAACTTGGGTCAATTGAAGGAATAATTTTGACATGTTGCGCTCGACCTCCTTTTCCCTGCTCCTTTCAATGTTGGCCTTGAACTTGGACAAGTCCACCAAAAAGCCATTACAAAACAACATTGGAAGAGAGAGAGAGACAGATACAGTGTATCAGAGCAGTGTGACCCAAGTTGAGTGTCCTTCATTCCTTTTTTACCCTTCCTTGGTCTTTCTTTGCTCTGTAACCAAACAGAAATGCTTGCTACGCAGGCTACAGCATTTTCCACTGGACATTTTCAGGTGATTAATATGCCCGAAAATGTAGTAGTTAGTTGTTTATTTTACCCATCTCTAGTGTTGTCAGTAAGGTACACTGTTTACGGCGAAAAAAGGCCAGTGACGCCATCAGAATTATGGAATAACAGTAAAAGGTAAAAGAAATACTAACACAAAGACACCGAGTGCAAAAAATGTATCAGTCATCCCGATTTAATGATGAAAAAAGGCTTTTTCAGGAAATCAAAAGTATATAATTTTTTTTATATTTCAGCTGCACATGTACACTTGAGCGTAAATGTACGTATATATGGAGGCTACGCTCCTTCGATCCGTATCTTCGTAATCTGATCACACGTACTTTGACTATGTGTAGCTTGAAACTTACGCAAAGCACAGCGATGGAGCAGAAGCACTTAAATGTTGCCCGCACTCCCTAACCTATGGTTATTACTAGTTTACATATTTATTTCTGCAATTCTTTGCTTATGTTATTTGTAATTACTTTATTTTACCAATCCCTGATCCTCGATCCCCGGTCCCCAATCCTCGATCCTCACCGCTGACTAGTCATCAATCATGTGACTTTTCAGGTGTTCTAGCTGTGCATGTGTCTAGATAGCCGGCAGCCGGGAACTGTTTTAAAAAAAGTATAGGTACCCGGGAGTGAAAAATTTTGACCAATTTTCTTGGAATAGCTCGTTTAATTCCTCTAAGAACATAACATATTTGTTTAGGAGTCTCAAACGATTGTAAATATTGCCTTAGGTTAAAAGTAGAAGCGACTGTCGAGCTTGGCCTGGGCATAGAGTGAAATCTCAATGTTTTCAACAATTAGCAAATATTCAAGTTCTCACACACTGAGCGAACTCCCGATAAACATCCACAGAAATCCACGAAACCTCAACAGAGTATTTAGTGATTGTTTAGAAATGCCAAGGGATTCTAAATAAAGGTTCCGCATTGTTGTGGACAAATTCTCCGAGCTTGTATAGGCATAATTCTTTCGAATCTTGACTCAAGGGTACGGTTTTCAAAATACTGGATGCCCGGCAGTCGGAAATTCTCACTGTACTTTAACGAAAATCTTTCTCGGCATCTGCTGAGTCTACTCGATTTCTACGTAAATTATAAAGAGTCTATAGTCTTACCGGATATCCTCTGGAAATGTTCCTCTGAGAGTTACAAACAACATTAAGTCTGTCGACTCGGCAGAAGAGTTCTTGCAACCTTCGGTGTACGTAGCACTTCAGCTGCGTGACGCAAATTCTTTTTCCTACACGGTGTCGAAACTAATAAAGATTTTACTCTATGCACAGGCTCGACAGTTGCCTCTACTTCAAGCCCAGAGCAGTGTTTGAAATCGCTAGATTTTTCTTAACAACTACCTGATGTTATCACACAAATGAAATGAGATATTTCGGGCAAATTGGACATGAATTTCCGACTGCCGGGCATGTAGTATTTTGAAAACCGTACCCGTGAGTCAAGATTCTAAAGAATATACTAAATGCAAGATTGGAGAATTTGTCCACAACAATACGAAACCTTTATTTAGAATCGGGTGAGGTTTTGTTGATAATTTCTGTGGATATTCATTGACTCAGTCTGTGAGAACTATCGAACACATTAAAATTTCACTCTAGGCCCAAACTCAACAGTCGCTTCCACTTTTCACCCAAGGCAGTATTTACAATCGTTTGAGATTCGTAAACAAATCTCTTGTGTTCTAAGAGGAATTAAGTGAGCTATATCGAGAAAATTGGTCAAAATTTCCGACTGCCGTGTATCTAGTTTTTTGAAAACAGTTCCCGGCTGCCGGGTATCTAGACACAGTGTGTTACATTAGTAGGGTAAATTCGCCATAATACTCTAAATAGAATCAAGGATAAAAAGCATCTCCATAAAGCCTTTTCTAAAAAAGGTAAAGTATGAAAGAATACCTTGCACCAGAACGAGCTAATAAGTCGGCCCACTGATCCGGATTCAAAAATTCTGCCTTGAACATCGGACCAAAATCGGCGTATGAGAAATCTGGACGATAGTTTTTCTTCATAAAGTCGACGCATTCTTGAGTATGTGCACCTTTCCAACACCACCAAAACCATTCTGAGTAGAAACTTGGAACGGAATAAACTCCCCAGTGCATGAAAATTCCGAATTTAGCTTCGTCGTACCACGAAGGAATCGGCCTCGAATCTAGCGACTCCCAAGTTGGGTCATATCTCGTGGCACTTATATCAGCTAACTGGCTTGTACAAACCAAAACTAAAGCAAACGTGATAATTGAAGACATTTTAACTCCAAAGAAGGTGAAAAATAGGCTTGAGGAAACCAGCTCTAGGGCCAAAACTGCTTGTACATAGAGTACAGCACAGGCCACCCAGACGTAGTATGTGTCAAATGAATATATTAACTATTCACATGGACAAAGTAGGATGAGTCGTCGAAAGTCCCATTAACTAAAATAGTCCATAAGTCAAAATATAACAAAAAAAGCCAAGATACCTTTAACTGAACGTATCCTTGTCTTTCCTGGCCGGTTAAATTGGCATTTTGTTGAGTTTTGCAATTGTAGGTACTATCCACCAAAAAAGAATTAACTGGCTACAAAACAAACGGACCATCTCTACGCGCCTTCAGGCGAAGCGCTATAAACTCGAGAATAATAGACGAATCTGCTCCAAATTGCCATCGACTAATCTGCAGGTAACGTGTGCTCCTGCTTCTTGCTCGCTGGCTCCACAAGGCCCATCACAACTGCACAATAATCGCTCGCTCAAATGTTGACCATTACGCTTCGATATGACCGCAAACTACCAGGTTTGAAGCTCAGCAGCCGCGCAACAACGCAACACTTGCTGTGGGAGGGATGGTACTATTGCTTCTAGGTCAATCAATCGGGAAAATAATGTTGAAGCCCTCGTAATTTTCAAAAAGATCCAATTTGCCCTAGAATCACCGAACAGATACGAATTTTATAGCGGAGCTAAAAAAAATTAGCGGCAGTGGAAAAAGTGAACAAGAACATGTACCACATTTCCTCCATAAAAAGTGAAAACCAGGAAGTTTTCTGGACGTTTCACGTTGCAGTCATGCAATTCAACGGCAAGGAAATGTACAAGAAAGTCTGCTGTTTTCTGTAAAATATCTGTCCGGAGGACCAAATTTTGCCTAGAATTTTCCTTCACGTTTCGCCCTGCCCGCCGGAATGTAATTTTCAAAGCGAGACGAAAATAGAGCCTGATCTCAGGTTAGTTAACTCAATGTTGTACCCAATTCAAACCCTTCGGGAATAGAACGTTTTTGTTTTCCAGATCATTTAAATGTGAATGCCACATTATGATGCAAATAGAATACAGAAAGAATCTTAACCCCTGGGAGATTTGAATTGGGTACAACACTGAGTTAGCCGAATAGGTCTCATGGCAACAACAGTTTACGAAAAGTTATCAGCATCGGCGATTACACAACAAGAAAACAATGCAAAGCAACATTTTACCGTTGTTTATTTAGAGTCTATAAGTTATAACAAGACATTAACAGGCAAATTTCTACGCTAACCCTTTGTCACAGACAAAGTAACTATATAAAATTTGAAAAGGCAAGAAAAAACGAAAGTCGTTAACACTCCCAGGCTCCCCAACTTTCGTACAAATAACTCGATTGGAAACGCTTGCTTCACAGGCTAGCCACAATACAACACTTAATTCTTTTTATGAATAAGAATCAAAAGCAGCTTGATAAAAAATGGCATAGACTGTTCGGCAATTACCATAGGTGATCACGGTCATTAACCGGGAGGGTCGCTTACAAAAGCTTTCCATCATGTTTCAAACGGGGTTTCACAATCGTGGACGTAATTAGAGCTGGTTGCTTATGGGCGAGCTTCGATTATAACTACTAATCCGATAGGATATCAAAACTACGAAAAAAATTATAGAAAACTGAGGTGAGTTTCTAAACCACTCTAGCCAGTGTACCAGAGGGTTTTTTTCTCGCGTGCGACAATTGCGTGCTGCGGAGATGCTTCAGGATCAGTCGCATGCCGAATCCACAAGCAGCGAAGCCGCAAGAAGAAGACTTTTCACGCGGGGTCAGTACAAAGTCTTAACCAAAACAGGAAACCACGCATGAAAAGTCTCCGGCACCCACAGTGACACTGCTCGGAATATAAAAAAATAAACTTCACAGCCGGGTTGTTCAAAGATGGGTTAAGATGACCCAGAGTTTGCCTGAAATTTGAATTCACATATGAAAGTTTAAATGGCAAATTTAGTTGAACTCTCTTTGTCAACAATTTGTTCAGAGGATTCTCAAAATGCTTAAAACTAACGGAGAAACTGCTTTAGAGCAAAAGAAAAAGAAACCCGGCTTGGCTCTAATCTACCTTCGAACAACAGGGCCCAGATGTTTTTAGAATTTACAAATTTAGAAAGAAACAATTGAGAAAAATAACGCGAACAGCCATCACTCAACATTGCTCATTTTAAAGACCCAAGCCCATTTGCAGGGCATTTCAGAGACAGTTAGGGGCGGTACAGAAATCATAATTCCACTATGACTAGTTAAAGCCTTCCAAGGGATTTTCACATCAGGCAAGCCAAGCAGATTCACTGTGGTAGTCGCTGTTGTAACGGGTACACTAAGATTCAGTGTGCCTGTTGTAGGCCACTCCAGAGTAATAGCGTAGGTAAGACCTGGTTTGCTGGTATACCTGTGAAAACACGGTTTCAGTTGGACGCGTTAGCGAGTCGCTCATAGCCATCTATAGTCAAGGCAGGTCAAGCGTGCATATGTACCCCCCAAAAGTAAGTTGAAGATTCCATTAGGGATTTAATATTCAGTCAAAATATTTCTCCGTTTCTGATCGGCTAAAACCAGACGCATAATTCACCATAACCAGCTGCTGTTGACCAAATTTGGAAAGAATTTTGTCCATTCTCGACCCCAGTGCTTACGGGTTTGGGAATGCGCTCTTCATCTCTCTCCTCTACATGCGCAGAAGAGCTCGGGGTCGAGATCGTAATTTTGTCATATTGAATCGAAGACGTCAAAATGACGTCAAAAGTGCAGCCTGGTTACAGGTAATTGAACAGTTGACCGAGATAACCTGGAGACGAGGTTGAGTTGTTTTGGTAGTTTGAACAAAATGGCGGAACTGTCGCGGATTTTACTCGTTTCACGGCGAAATATTGTCTAAAACCATCGCAAGAACACCAAGAAGACAACTCGACGGACAACATCCGCTATAATGGAGTAAATTTGCAGACCTGAGGAGACCTTAATCTCTTAAACTGCATCATTATTCGAAAGTTGAATCCGTTTCAGATTCATCCCTGCATTGTAGCATGCGTAATGAGCCGTGAATTCACACGCCAGACAGCAATGAAATTTCTACAAGCTCAGCTTCCCTGAATTGATGTAAATGTCTTTCAATGTTTTGAGCGGTGTATCTTTATGTTTCGCTCAATTAAGAAGCAGGTCCCACAGTTTAAATTTTGATATATTTCGTGACATAGCTCCTGAAGGAACGTCTTATGAAAAGGCAAAGAGCTATACTATCACGCCCATATAACTACTTACCATATATGAGGAGTTGAGGTGTCATTCTGCGTGTGCCAGGGTTTGGTTCCGTATATGGCCTCGCCGTTAACTTTAAGCCAATCTCCCATCTGTTCCAGACGTTCTTGAAAAATAGGGTCGATCCTACCGTCTGATGTCGGTCCAACGTTCATCAGCAAATTTCCACCACAGCTATTACAAAAAAGGGTGAAATCAATAACACATGTAAGACTGATAGGTACACTAGACAATACACCTTTTTACCTTGTATGTTTTGTTTTCCCAATTTAGACCACGTGATGTTCTCCAGGGAATTTACCTTATGCATACATAGGCACATGGATACACGTGCATAAGACGATATTTGAAAAAAACATTTCACTGGGGTACCATAACGTGGTCCGAAATAGAAAAACAAAACTTACAAGCTAAAACGTCTATTGGCACAGCAGAGGTGGAACTACAGATACATTCGCCCCCAATTCGGATCGTTCGCCCAAAAGTGATTCAATTCGCCACCAATGTTACCACCACAAATATCACAATTTAAAGGGAAAATTAATGGCAATTACCAGATCGATTGCAAAAAAACAAGATACAAATGAAGAGGTGGGACTACAGCTATTATTCGAATCGAATCGAATTTCAGCTATTATCCGAATCGGGTCCTTTCGCCCAAAACAAAACAATTCGCCGCCCATTTTTCCACCACAAATATTACAAAAAAGGGAAAACAAAATAGCAGGTACAAGACTGATGGAACAGAAATTTGGCAGTGCAGAGGTGGGACTACAGTTACATTCGCCTCAGATTTTTCAGGCTTTCGTTTTACAACTGCACAACATGCGTACCTTCTACGCATTTTCACTGAAGTATGGCAACAGATTCTATCAAACCATAAAGGCAGGAAGGGGAAAAGCGGGCAAGCAGGGAATTTTATCTCACCTTACAGCTGAAGCCAGAATAGAGGTCAAGTCATCCATGGTGAGGAAATCTGACAATACTGTGTTTCTGCGATAGCCCCACGATTTCTTATCAACTGTCATAGCATCTTCCCATTTGTGTTTCTGCAAGACACCTAATGAAAGAAACATTGGAAAGCACAGAATGGAAACAGGTCACTGATAGCATAAAGGTTTATACAAAAAATTGCAACCATTTTTAAGGACTTTTCAAGGACCACCTACACACAGACTGCACAAAAACGCACATTCCCAGTCCATTCTAACAGGACTTTAAGGCTTAAACTGTTTGCTCCACCAACTTCTCTACATTTTTCAGTTCACTTGTCTCAAGTTGATACAGCTGTAGTTACTTCTTGCATACAACAAAAAAAGCTTGATGTAAAACACCTTTTACTTCTCTGAGCTATGATTCATATTCTGTCTTGGACAACAGTGATGTAACGATTAATCAAACAGATCAAATTCTAGATCAATCGCGATTATGACCGGTTCGATTCAAGATTCTTTGCTTCCAAGTTTCGATTTTGGTCCGATTTTTGCACACCTTTTCCAGGGTGCCCTCAGTGAGTTATTACATTGTAAAATCAGAATCCAGAACTCTTTAAAATGGAATTCAAGAACGTTTCAAGGACTTTAAAATTCCCCAAAACTTCCAGGACTCTTCAAGACTGTGCGAACCCTGGCAAAATAATGTCTTGGAACTGAAATTATAGAGAAAAACCTATAAATTTTTTTTTTTTAAAATAAAAACCAGGATACTTATGGACAGGTCTTAAATGTTCACAATGTAATTTGAAGGAAATAAATGTATTGTGTAGGAATGTGTAAAGCAGAAGGATAGTAATACCTGGGTTGTACCGATCAGAACAGGTATATGAGCCACCATGGTGACACATGCAGCCAGCGCCCCAACGGTCATTCACCACAACTGTATCTTTCACAGGGCTGTGTGAGAAAAAAAACAAACAAACAAACAAACACGTAAATTTGGCTCTATTATCAACTTTATTTGCAAGATTGATTCCCCATTTTAGTATAGACTAAAACAGTGGATACCGTTTTTCGAGCGCTCTGATTCGCTACTCAATCAGTGAATATCCTGCACTATTCACTGATACACCTGCGATTCCACCGAGCGAGCGACGCCAAATTCGCGAGCAAAATGCCTTCCCGGTCTGCTGCAGTAACCAACAAAGAAATTTCACAACTAATCAATCAAGCTGTTCCCGAAATGCACGAAGAAGGTGACTAAGTTCGGTTTGGAAATTTTAACAGGTAAAGCTTTGTATTCTTTACTTGAATTTATCCATAAAACCAGTGAAAAAGATTTTTGTTTACAAATGCAAATTAAGCTTAAGTCTTGCATTACTTTATAAAGTTGACTTGTTTATAAATAAGCTTAAAACTAAATTTAATAAAGAAAGAATTCACAACTCCTTTTGAAGAAATTTTCATGCAAGAGGTAAACAAATGCCTTCAAAAGTTTTATTTGTCGGCAAGAAAAAAGCGATGACTGCATCCGTTTGGTCATTGGGCGCCAAAATTGTAATCATTGGCTACAGTAAATGAGTTAAAATTCATCATTTTTGAGCTCAATTATCTCAATGTTTTAGTACATACTAAAACAATTATTCACCGAAGTGGAGGTGGCTAGTGGTGGAGGTTTACCTCACCGCTTCACAGCCTTGGTAAATACCACCACTAGTTACCTCCACTTCGGTGAATAATTGCTGTATAAACACAGCATATTTTTTCAGGAATCTTTACACAACAGTGCCCATAATTTGGACCTTTATAACTAATACAGCGTTTGAGTCCCTTGTGGCCCATAGTTTCTGAAGCTTCCGAAGTGGAATGGTGCAAACCATTGATTTTCCAACCAAAATTTCCAGCTTTGAAATAATAAATGGTAAGGAAAGGTCCATTAGAAAATGTTTCCATGGGGGGGGAGGATGAGGGGTAGGGTGGGGAAAAGTCTCTCTATCCATGTACAGTGTATATACATAAATATATGTGTGCATAATTCATCAAAAGACAAAAAGCAATTTCCCTGGTCTGAAGTAGGAAAATAAAACATACAAGTAGAAAAGGTCTATTGAGGGTATACCTTTAAAAGGTTAAAAGGTAAAAGGTTTGTTTATAGCGGACAAAAGCACGTACATGTTACTGTTCCATCTAGTTTTTACAGGCACTCAACTCAAATTATTATTAGAGGCTTTCCTTAATAAGGAAGGTAAGGTAAAGGGGAGCAAAGTATTGCCAATGTCATGGGTGGTCAGTATTCAAAGAAATATGAGTGGTACAGTGCATACACCATACCTGTCATTGTATAACCAGGCCAAGAATTCTTTACTCTTCCAGTAGGTATCAGGTGCCTCCCAGTCTCCATCAGACCAAATATACTCAGGTCTATAGGTGTTTACAAGGTCATAGATTTGAGGCACCATGACGTCCTGCAAAAAAAAAACCTGAGTCTGAGCCTGAGGAAACAGCAAACATTTTGCAAACCACCACTGCTTTCCGGAATTTCCAGTGAAATAGCATCTGAGAAAAGAGCACAGGAAATTCCATACTGATGATATATTACTACTCAGGTCTATCACGGCACACAGTTGATCATGAAGTGGCCGCATTAGCAAGGTTGGCTTTCTATGAGAATTCATTGATTCGGCAAGAAATAGGTGTCCTTTGTCCACATTAATGGGTGTTAATGTTAAACAGGTATATAAGAGAAATACCTAAGAGAAAATATAAGGGCTTTCCCCAAGGACAAAGAAAACTGTCCATAATAGTGAGGTGATCGTATTAAGCGAGTGTCTGAAAAGCGGGGTTGAATGGCTGTGTTCAGAATTAATTTACAATGTATGATTCCACATTGTGTTTCAATGTTATCCTTGGTTCAAATTTTATTTTCCTATGTGGTTGGATATGATAGTGAATGATAATCAGTTTGAGACAAAGAAAAATGAAATTTGAACCAAAGGATAAAAATTGAACCACAACATCTAAACATCTACATACATGTACATGCATAATAATTATACTAGTTCTTTATATGGGATGCAGTTGTGTCAATGTAATGTTGATGATAATACTATTAAATTTGTTTGATATGCATTTACTTACATCAACATAATCTTGTGTTTGAAATTTATTGGCTTTGTCTTTGAGGTAAAGAGGGTGAAACCACTCAAACAATGAAAAGTACAAGCCAAACGTGACATTGGTGCGTTTCCTGATGGATGATGCAAGTTCACCTAGTTGAACAAATGATGGTTAAAAAAAATATTCTCCCTGTTCATACACTTAACGCAATTATGTAAATCCACTACAGAACTTCGTTGAATGTAATGTAATATAATAATAATAAAAATTCTCATAATGATTATTATCAATATACATGTATCATTATAATAAATTGTTATCATTATTATTATTATTATTATTATTATTATTATTATTATTATTATTATTATTAGGGTAAGGCTCCACTTGTAAGCAAAATAGAGGCGCAATCCCAGAAGAAGCCGAGGTACAACGACTGGTATACGCCACCCGGAAAGAAAAGGATGATGGGCTAAAAGAAGAGCTTGAGGAGGTGAAGGCCATGTTGCCAGACAAGACAAAGAGAGCCGTGGACCTGGCCTGTGAAAAAGGAGAATCCATCTGGCTTACAGTTATTCCTCTCAAGGACATGGATTTTGATCTCAACAAGCGGGAATTTTGTGATACTGTGAGGCTTCGATATGATTGGCCGATACCCGATAATCTGTGAGTACGCGTTTGTGGGAGCATGTTTACAGTAGATCACGCGACGATCTGCCAGCGTGGAGGCTTAGTCATTCAGTGCCACAATGAAATACGCGATCTACAGGCCGCGCTGCTTGACATGGTTTGTTACGATGTGCAAGTTGAACCCGCATTACAACCTACTACAGGCGAAGAGCTTGCCAGAGGGACTAACCAAGCCCCTGATGCACGCCTTGGCATCCACTGTAGGGGTTTCTGGGAGCAACAGAGGGCTGCATTTTTCCATATAAGGGTGTGTTATCCCAATGCGGACTCACATAGAGATCTTAGCCCCAAGCAAATCTACAGGATTCATGAAAAAGAAAAGAAGCGAAAACACAACTCTCACATCACAGAAATAAAGCAAGGCACAATCACCCCACTGGTATTTACAATGACGGGAGGGATGGCGGACGAATGCCTGAGATACCACTCAAGATTAGCCGGGCTATTATCTGCAAAAAAGCAAGATAGCTACACCACAACAATTTCATGGGTCAGGGCGAAAGTGTCCTTTGCAATTTTGCAGAGCGCGCTCTTATGCCTGAGGGGATCGAGAATCCCGAGAAGGAGGAACTTAGATGTTAAGGACACGGGTCTAGAAATAGAGAAGGGTCAAGCAGGACTTCCCTAGACTCAACAGCTACAGGTGCTTTATTAATTGTCTTTATTTTATTTAATTTAATTTATTTTTTTAACAGTTGAAAGAAACTTTTGAATTTTAGAGGCTGACAGTTTTTTTTTATTGAAATGAAATGTTTTTTATTCAAATAAATTTTTTGTAGGTAAATTAACTCTTTCTAAGCTAAATTAAGTGCTTTCTAAATCGACAGGAATTGTAAATAGTGTTTTGAATGAATAGTCTTTTCTTTTTTTCAAGCGAATTAATTGTACATAGGATTTTAATAGTTAGCATTGTTGTCAATAAAATTTTTTCATATTATTATTATTATTATTATTCATTATTATTATTATCACTCAACATCAAAATAAGCTGCACAATAAGCAGCCAGACAAAACAATTATTGGAAGTCTATGACATTTTAATATAGTCAGATGAACAAAACTTCAAGTCACCAATAATGTTAAAAATTTATCTGCCAAAAATTAAAAATCTCACAATAAACAGTGTACTGGTAATGTGTTTCGTACCCACAAGATCTCTGTGAGGTCCATTGTCTACAGAGTTCCAATTCCAAGTCACATTGGATCTCCAGTTTGTCCAACCTTCATGGTGTTTACTGGTAAGAACAAAATACCTAGAAAAAACAAAACAAACAACAAAAAAAGAACATTGTTGGAATTAGAAGAAATGTCCCTGTAAGCCCATCAAAAAGTTCACCTGGATAATCTAAGAGCTCCAATCCGTGACATTAGAACTTGGGTCAATTGAATGATGTTGACATGTTGTGCTCATTCTCCTTTTCCCTGTTCCTTTCATTGTTGGCCTCGAACTTGGACACCCATTACAAAACAACATTGGAAGAGAGAGAGACAGGTACAGTGTATCAGAGCAGTGTGACCCAAGTTGAGTGTCCTTAATTCCTGCTTTTTTTTGGTACCGTTTCTTCGTCTTTTTCTGCTCTGAAACCAAACGGAAACGCTTGCTATGCAGGCTACAGCGTTTTCTGCCGGACATTTTCAGTACATTAATATGCCTGAAAATGCAGTAGTTAGTTGTTTATTTTACCCATCTCTTGTGTTGTCGGTAAGGTACACTGTTTACGGGGCAAAAAGGCCAGTGACACATTCAGAATTATGGAATAACAGTAAAAGGTAAAAGAAATACTAACACAAAGACACCAATATACACTGTAGTGCAAAAAATGTATGAGTCATCCTGATTTAATGATGAAAAAAGGCTTTCTCGGGAAATCAGAAGTATCTAATGTTTTCATATTTCAGCGGTACATGTATGCACGGGCGTAAATGTATGTATGTACAGGGCTCAAAGTTTAAATTTGAGTTAATAGGAGCACTTGTGCTACCAGATGTAAATTTTTAGGCACACAGCTGAAAGTTTTAGGAGCACAGCTCATAATGTTGGGAGCATCTATTTCAAAAGAAAAAGTAAAAAGCTTAACAGTGCCATGTTTATTTGTCATCTTCAGTTTGTTACTTTTACTTCAGTCCTGTGATCGATAAAACAGCCGATTTGCTATGCAGTAATACTGTTGTGATTGTTAATACTAATTTCTCTTTTTGACAGTACAGTTGTGACCAAAGAAAACTTACACTTGAAAAACAATTCAAAACTGACAACAATGAGTGTGTTGAACGAGAATGAAAATTAATCTTTAATGAATTTGTTAAATGAACAATGACTTACATGTAACTGGAATACGACTTAAAAAACTTTCTTACCTGGAAAAAAAGGCTCTTAATCTGCACTGTTTTCGTTTTCATCGACGTTAAAACTGAACGTTCGACATGATCGTCCATTGCACAAAAAGTATGTGTTTCATTCGTAGCACACCGGTATATTTGCATGTGTCAGCGGTGTTTATTACAAAACAGAAGAGTCTGGGATGGAGTAAAACATCGAAACAAAAAAGAACATTCAAGTTTGCAGAATCTACTGGGAGAAAAGACCAATTAAACATACACCATCTTTCTAGTTCGAGTTCGTAAGTATAGTTGGAAGTAAGTCAGTAGCACTGTGCTTTGGGTTTTACGGCGCAAAGGTGCAATTACACTTGAATTTTTAGGCGCACAACCAAAAATCCAGTCGCATATGTGACCAGTTAGTCGCTAACTTTGAGCCCTGATGTATGGACGCTATGCTCCTGCAATCCTTATCTTGGTCTGCTTACAGCTACATAGAAGCTATATCATCATTCAATTTTTTAAGTGTGCAATTCCCGTCAGCCCTTGCAATTTTTACATTTTGAGTATTTACATTATGACATATAACACTCGTTTTGTATTCCAAACGAAAAAGTAGTATATAACAGCACCAGTGCCTTTGATGACAAAACTATTTCCTGCATTTACCCTGGTGCAGTTGCGCTCTTTGACAGGGTTGATGCATGGGGTTAATTGTGAAAAGAAAATCGAAATAAAATGGCTCTTCGGGCCCAAGAACAAAGATGATGTTACATGCTTGAAATACCAAAGAAAAACAGGACTGGGAAGATGAGCTCATTGTAACAGCACATATCCTTCATTCATACTAAAAATCTGGCAGACAATGACCAACATGGATTTACACAAATCTACCTCTGATTTTGAGTTTGTGAAAGAAAAAAGACAGTAATTTTATCACCATCACAGCACACTTCTTAGGTGCTTGTTCCCAAATTGACTGTGTCTTGCTTACTTTGATGGCTCATTGAAGTGCATCTTCTTCGTTTTCCTGCTGATAATTTCTCAGCCAGCTATGCGTATCATGAGCGGAACATTCTTCTCCCAGGGGCCCCACTCACATATTTTAATGACGGGGGGGTCCGAAGGATTTTTTTGGGTCTGACATTTTGGCCAAAAGGGATTTTTTTGGGTCTATGAAAGACGCCAGGATTTTTTTGGGTCGCGAAAACAACAGAGGGATTTTTTGGGGTATTGTATTTTTCATCAGCTCAAATCAAAAATAACATAAGCGCAATTTATAGCGGGGCTCTCGCGCGCGCGAAGCGCGCGTGGGACAGAGCCCCATACCCATGGAATATGGTCAACCTCTTTTCGTTTGGTTGTCACGTGATTGACCGAGCGTACGTACGTACGGACGCGTCTACAGATTGTATGGGTGGGGTAGGGGAGACTATCAAAAGGAAGGGAGGGGTGTCTCAGGCGTGTCTTGGCAAGCCCACATCTTTAATATAGGACATTAACAATATGGTCAATTGACAGCTGTCCAAACAGGATAGCCACTGACCAGTATCCCATGACCATATCGTGGGCTCATGTGTCAACTCATCGAGGTGACGTGATTTATTTGGAAGCTGTCCGCTGACCAGTTAACTGTTTTACTAGATCGCGAACAACGTTCAATCTCATACTTTTACTAGTTTGGGAGCACAGGAAAACTGATAATGCACACATATTGGACATCAATGTTTTGATCAATTGACAGCTGTCAAAACAGAGTACCATGACCAGTATCACTTGACCGTATCACGGGCTCAGGTGTCGACCGTCGAGGTCAAGTATTTTTGAAGTTATCCGCTGACAAGTAAACTAGTTTTCAAGTGATCGCAGGCTCAAGTTCATTTTTTTTCTTAATTCATATGAAATATGTTGTGTTTATGTGCTGCACAATTAAAATTTTGATTGCAAACTGACCTCGGACGTGAAAATTCAGCCAGCTGTTACAGGCAGGGAAGACAGTTGCTTTTATTTTTTCTCACAATGGTCACGCGTTGGTCACGCTCTACGTCCAATTTTTATGCTCTGATTGGTCAAAATTTGACATGTGAGTTCATGTGCAAAATTTATGCAGCATCTTGAATCTTGTTTACTTTAACAGCTGAAGCTGACAGAGTTTTGAGTCAACTTGTGATGTTTTTAACTGTCTTTTTCCACTGGATGTACAAAATGAAATTCAGCTGCTATCAGGAGTCTTCTGTTACTCATGGCTAGTTTGTTTATAGGGTTTTTGGTTGAGAAAACGTCGCTTGTCAAAGTCGGAACCGATTTCGGATGGCATCGTTTTTCGTTTTTCACCTTGCTTGATGCGTAAGAGGATTGCAAAGTCTGAAGCGATACTGGCTTTACCTGATAACTTTCAGGAGCTGCATCTCGAATGGTAAGCCAGAGAAATTATTGTATTTCATGTTTGTTTTTTGTATCTAATTTAATGAAGTGGAGCGTAGTTTATGCGGGAATTTAGTTTGTGCGCGTTTGTAAGTTTTGAGACAACGATCTCACCGAGTATCTGGTTTGATATAATCTTACAGAACTTTAAAAAGCCTTTAGACAGTTTCTCACCGCAAATAGAAAGAAAATGTTCCAAAGAATCTTTAGTTATAATTCTAGCCGGAAAAGAAAGCTTTTAGCGATTTTCTTGCCTCGAGTTCGTCTTTGAAAAAACAAACACCGGGAAGCTGGCTTAAAACATAAACTTCAGCAAACTTAAGCTTGAAGCTTGAAGACTCAGGATATTTAGGGACACTTTAATACTTGTCTTCCTGAATGAAAATTGTTGTCTCTGTTTATGTTTCACCGAATTCAGGGCTCGAAATTGCGACTCACTGGTCGCCAATGCGACCAAAAATTGAGCACTGGCGACTAAATTTTCAGAACTGGTCGCCAGCTGGCGACTCGCGTTTTGTCCGATGACTAAAGAAAACCACGACACAACTTTTGTTTTTAAATCTTTATATTTGGAAATCAATCGGATATGGTAGCTAGTATACAACTCACCTTTCCGTCCCCAGTAAAATAATGTCTGAATATTACAAGATAATCGACACGTCGATACTGCGTTCAGGGCGCGCCATATTGTTTCAGCGGCTTCTTCCGAAACTGGGATCGCAGGCGCACTTCAACAACAAAAATGGTGGCAGATACGGTGTCTCCGTAACTCCCGCAACATTTTAGGTTTTATTTTCCTAAAACGTTCTGTCTAAAAGGAAACGAAGACCCAAAAACTGCACTAAGCCCATTTTTGTTTCCTCCCGGTCGGAGACTGGTACGAGCAATGTGGTTGCGTAGAGGCCTGGGCCAAGCATGGCGTTGTTTGTCGGCAGCGAAAGGCGTTGAGGAAAGCAAGTCGAAAATAAAGAACGGCATTTCGTAGAAGTAGCAAAGGGCAAATACACAAGGACCCGTGTTTGTCTCAGAATGAAAACCACGGACTTAAAACGTTTTATGCTTCGCTTCATTTAAAATGACTATGGAGACAACCATCACCTTCGGACCAGAGACATATCACCTGAGAACAACGGTAGCTTTATAACTAAGTGTTACTCGTGTTGTTTCTAATTGTTTTCGCTCTTCAGTTGTGACTTTTCTTGCATGCAAAGTAACGTATAAAATCGTGTTCTTGTGTAAGTTATATATAAAATAAGTTGGCGACCAAAATTTACGATCTGGCGACCAAAATTTTTCCGTTAGTCGCCAGCTGGCTCCCGAACAAAAAAGTTAATTTCGAGCCCTGGAATTATATTTCTTTTATTGATTGTTGGTAGTCTCTCTTGCAATTTTAATCGCTATGCCGATTGTTTTCAGTCGTTCAGTGAACATCGCTTGCAGGAGTTCTCAAAATGCTGCGCGTTAAACCATCAAATAAAAGATAAACATGATAAATTCTTTATTATCTTGGAGCGTAACTCTGTTAATGTTCATTCAAACACTCGCTACAGCTCGCTTTACAAAAAGTGAGAACCGGATGGCCGTATAGGTGATTTTGGAAAATTTTTAACAGTTTATGAATATTGAATGAGAGCAATTTGTATTGTGAAATACTGCTTTCTGTCCATGGTATAAAAGGTTGGTTTACACGCACCCAGATTTGTTGGCAAGATTTTGCAAAGTAAACTTGTCGAACGCCAAAACGTTGGCCTGATTTTTTTTCTAAGCCTAATTGATCTACGGTGATCAATAGCCATTACGGCTCTTAAATGTGATAAAAGATGATTACCAGTTTTTGAGTGTACATATGAGGCTATCAACTCGATGTAAGATTTGGTTCACTCTTGGGCTCTTTGCAAATTATTTTTCTCTAAAATCAGGTAGCCTTTCCCTCAAAAGTCACATAAATGTGCTCTAAAGTTAACTGAATTGTGGAATTCGAATACAAGTTTATTGTTTAATTTAAATTATAAATTTACTAATGGGAGCCTCGCTTTTAGCCCTGGCTAAATCTATATATTAGTTTTGTTTTTGACCATAACCAAAGTTGAAGTTGGCATGTTCTAGCTTTCCAGAAGATGAATAATAACATTTGCTGATGCAAAAACACTGAGGGATTTTTTTGGGTAGACAAATTCTGAAGTTGGGATTTTTTTGGGTATAAAATATGAACCTCTGTCGAACCCCCCGTCATTAAAATATGTGAGTGGGGCCCCTGGGATTCTTCTTCTTGGCGATCTGACACAACATCTGAATATTTTCTTGTCGAAACCGCCAAAAAAGGAATAATTTCAAGATTTTCAAAGCACGGTAAACCCAAAACAGGCAAAATGCAACTCACGTCTGCTTATGGTTCTTGTCTATAATCTAGGTAGGTGATGGGATGATGACACGCAAAAGTTAACATGGAAGTGTCTTTTTTACATATTTATTTCTGCAATTCATCGGTTATTTTATTTGTAATTATTATTTTCTTACCGATCCCGATACTCGATCCCGATACTCGATCCCCAATTCCCGATCCTCGATCCTCACCGCTTACTAGTCACGAGTCATGTGACATTCAGGTGTTTTAGCTTTTGTGTTACATAATTAGGGTAGATTCGCTATAATACTCTAAATAAAATCAAGGATAAAAAAGCATCCCCAAAAAGCCTTTTAAAAAAAGGTAAAGTACAAAAGAATACCTTGCGCCAGAACGAGCTAATAAGTCAGCCCACTGATCCGGATTGAAAAATTCTGCCTTGAACATCGGACCAAAATCGGCGTATGAGAAATCTGGACGATAGTTTTTCTTCATGAAGTCGACGCATTCTTGAGTATGTGCACCTTTCCAGCACCACCAAAACCATTCTGAATAGAAACTTGGAACGGAATAAACTCCCCAGTGCATGAAAATTCCGAATTTAGCTTCGTCGTACCACGAAGGAATCGGCCTCGAATCTAGCGACTCCCAAGTCGGGTCGTATCTTGTGGCACTTATATCGGCTAACTGGCTTATACAAACCAAAACTAAAGCAAACGTGGTAATTGAAAACATTTTAACGGCAAAGAAGGTGAAAAATAGGCTTGAGGAAACTAGTTCCAGAGCCGAAACAGCCTCTACGTAGAGCACAGATGTTTTTGTCGTGTCCTGACAGCAGTACTGACAGCTCACGCATTAGTGCCACAGGATTCCCAATCAATATAGTTCACGCACAGGCGAGTGAGTATCAGTCCTTCTCTCGCGATCCTGAACTATTTTGTGGAAAACCAGTGTCAGCGCTGATGATGCAACTCGATTGCACAAGTATGCGATTACAACTTAGAAGATAACGATTCACATTTAATTTCCGCAGTATTTGTGTGTTATAGCGTCATAAGCAACAAAGCAGGTACCGGTAAGTTTCTGGTGTTCTTTGTACAATGTTACGGTATTTGTTTCCACCCCGGCGGTGGGGGGAGGCACTGCCATATATGGGCTATATAGGTATGTGACGCTGTAAAGGGTATGGTTTTCAAGCAGTTTACTCTAGGATAGGGTATATAAATCAGAACGTTTGGGTCTACAATAGGGTATCATTTTTCAGGAAACTGATCAGTTGGTTGAAGATTTTATCTAGACTTGGGAAACAGCTACTCTAGGATAGGGGGGATTTGGGGACTTAGCCTGTTCCAGGCTCCGAGATGGTGGTGGAAAGTCGTTCAGTAATAAGAAATGCGAAAAACGCGCCGGGGCTGGGGAGAGACAAGTCGTGCGCGTCTTATTTTCGCTTTGCTCGTTTTAATACGTTCCCACTATACTATCTGAGAGCCTGGCACAGGCTATTGGGGACTTTACTCTAGTATAGGGTAGCAAAATTTAGCTGAACTAGCTCTGGTATAGGTTAAGGGTTCGAGGGTCCCAGCGGCACATCCCCACCCAGAAATACCTAAAGTGCCCCCCGGGGTTTCCACCATACTCACAGGCTTCCCATTTTGTTACGGTGGTCTGCCTGTGCTGCGAGCTTTTCCGTTGAAAAAATCTGGCAAGAGGCGTGAATCAGTGATGGGGAGGAGAGAGGCGATCTTTTTAGCACAGGAGTAACAAGACAAACAAGGGAAACGTATGGCATACTACGGCTATGTAGAAATCTCTATCCAGTGGATAGCGCATTTGGTTTCGCTAATATTCGATGAGTAGTGATTTATCCGGCGCGGTGGATAGCAATATCCTAGATTTTAACAACCGGGGCAACAGATCCGGCCTGTTAGACCTGATTACAGTGCGAAATTCGAGAAACGCAAAATTTCCTGATGGGATACGGGAGTTTTGACCTCTTCTCGTGAAGCGGGATGCGCCAAAATCTCGGCACGGATATCGTATTGGGAAAGACAACGGTATTCGGGACAGGGATGGCGTAAGTTCGAAACGCGGGATTGTCGCGAAGAAGGCGCTAGAATATGGGATCAGGTCACCTCTTCCAGACCATGATAGAAGAAAATACTGCATACGATCATAAGGTATATATGATAATAGCTCTGCAGCTCCAATTGGATATATATACTACTATAAGAAGGCGTGAAAAATATTCCGCCAAAGCTGTTTCTGTAAATAAATTTTCACGGGAAAGGCCTTGAGTCCAAGCTAGGGCTTATATGGGAAATGAAGGCTCCTACTAATAGGCTCCTGATCTGATTGGAGTATTGACATCACGCAAAGATTGTCGCGTAGCGGCCCAACGGCTTTGGTCATACAGACCACACTGGCGAATGTTTCACTCGCTACGTTAATACAACGGAAAACCTTCGTTGATATCCTCAAACTGCCCAGGAACTGGCCAAAGTAATGTTTGAAAAAAATTTACGCAGAGGAAAGGTCATGATTATACAGTTAACTCTCTCTTAACGCACACCTCTATAAGATGGACGCCCCTCTAAGACAGACAACGGGCATTTTTGAAACCGTCAACGGACAGATGAGGGGGGGAGTGTTTTATGCAGCCGCGCAAAATACCTGCAAAAAGAAGTGTAGTTGTTCTACTTGACATTAAACATTTGCTCCAGTTCGCAGAGTGTATACTGTTATGCTTTTAGTCCACGAAGCTACCCGTGAACGTTTGATTGCACAATGAGAAAATAATCCTTTTTTCCTGTTACAGTGTTCCAGTTTTGAACAAGTTTAACAGAGATTTATTCATTGGGAATGGGTTGGGGATCTCACCTACCCGAGATCCCCAACCTCTAGTATATAAACAGGCCCTTACTTATCATGCGTTTGTCGACAAGAATAACAATACAGCGTTTAAAAAAAAATATCTATCAACAACGTTATGAGCATATCTTAATATTAACCTCTTGCATACTTTATGCACGTTTGCGTCAGACAAGTACATTGCACCACTTGTTAAGGTGATCTTTCCACTCGCAACGACTATTTGCAGCGCAACACAGGGTTGCAACACTAGGGCCATTTATACGAGGAAAAATAAGACGCGTCTTACATAAGACGCGTCTTAAATAAGACGCGAACTGTACCATTTATACGAGCATGTCTTATCTAATAAGACGCGTCTTAGCTAAGCCGCGTCTTATTTTAGACGAAATGTGCCGTTTATACGGAAAGTTCGTGTCTTATGTAAGACGCGTCTTATTTTTCCTCGTATAAATGGCCCTACTGTTGCGACATTGTTTTGAGTGAATTTACAACATTGTTCCAACATTACCAACGCTGGTGCTGCACTAAAAATCGCCGTTGTGAAGCTTCCTGTCTAACATATACCCTGAATTAGCTAAGTTTTGTATAAATGAATTCCCAAGCCATTAGATTCTGAAAGCATTCCCATGTCATTTCAATTCGCAAACAGAACCATTACTGGCCATTTTAAATTGAGAGTGGGACTGGGGCGGCTTTGTGTCGAATTGCACTATGAGACTGTTTTGGAAATGCTATCACACCTCCCATGATAGACATTGCCACGGTTTGCCCCCCCCCCCCCCAAACAGAAACTTTTCATAACCTTCGTTTTAACTTCAGTTCTCCTGGGTATTTCAGTCGTCCCAACTGAAAATGAAGACAATACCAATGTTCGACCAATGTAAAATCTTAGGGCAAACAAAGTGTATTATGGCAGATGTGCAAATGGCGCACATTGACAAATTTCTTTGATAAAAGCACAGTCTGAGTAGAGGAAACTGGTTATGAAAGCCGGCAAACTTAAAATATAAAAACAATGATGTCGCAGTTTGTGTTGAGAGCTCCCTGACAGTGCACAGTCCTGTGTTTTTGGCTCACAAATCGTGACTGAATAAATTTATGCGACTTTTTTTTATTTGTGGAAAGTATCAAAAACATAGGACGCGGTGATTAAACGTTGTGCACCGTCGAGTCCAAAGAAAACTAACAATGCAAAAAACAAAGAAATCTGACAGGTTTCATAACCATTCCACCTTATTTACTATGGTTACAGAGAAGTGCCTTTTATTGGGCTAAAAATATATTTTATTAAATGAAACTCGCCAATGATTTCAGTTACGCTAATTCAACACGACAGAAAGCGATCGGTACGCGAGGGTTCCTCAGTCTCTTGTTCCTTTATTGCCAGATGATTTTACAGATCACCTTATCATGACGCTCACTTATCACCAAACTTTACATTTCTTTTTAGGATTCATTGGTGAGCCTAGAGGACAGTTAAAGGCCTTTGAAAACTCAGGAGAATTCATCAATGTACCGTTGACCCTGTAAATAAAAAAAATGCATTAATACTGTAGGTCAAGCCATCGACTACAGATTAAATGTTTACGACCTATGCCGGCGTAAGAATTCTACCCTTGTTAACAGAAGAAGATATTAGAGAATTTTAGATTCTGTAAGAGCAGAACGACTACGAAAATAAGATATTTTTGTTAAATACTCAACAAGTAGTGCGGGCTACGTGAACCAGCGTCATTTTGGCGGGAAAATGCGATAGCCGGGGGCGTCATTCTCCACAACGGCCCCCTTTGGGGACAGAAGAGAGTGGCCGTTGTGGAGAGATATCCGTTAGTAGAGATTCGACTGCATATGGGTTTTGGCGAAAGTGTGGTAGTGACGGAAGCACGCGAGTTATCTAATGTTTATAGAAGTTTCATCATTTTACGATCGAAAGAGGGCTCAACTTCCTTCAACAAAAATAATTTTGTTAACTTTTCTGGTGAAAAAAAAAGTAAAAGGAAACTTTCCGATGTGTCTATTTCTTGAGATTAGTATAGGTAATAGCATGATTTGTAGTGACATTTGGCATAAATACCACGAGTGATATTTCGAAATTGTTATACAAAATTTCACGAGCCGTTAGGCGAGTAAATTTGCGACAATTTTGAAAAATCACGAGTGGTATTTATGCCAAATATCACGGGCAAATCATGCTATTATTTGTTTATACTACTACCCACACAAGGTTTGTAATTTTCATATGTAGGTATTTCAAATTAAGCTGAAATACCACTGCTCTAAGCCAATCAAATTGCAGAAATTTCTCATGTAGTGGTATAAGGTGAAAAACAACTTTATGTCGTAGTTTGTCCTGGTCAGGAATCTAAAGATCTCTATCGTAGAACTGGGCAAACAACGTCTTTAGTTAGTAGAGGTTATTCACAATGTTATTTCGGGGATGAAATTATAGTGTCGGTCAAAGAAAAACCAAGGAAAACAGTTTTTGGTCAGAAAAATCGGATTCCCGGCTGCATTTCAATTTCAGCTGAAATACAACTGCTCTCAGCCAATCAAATAGCAGAAGTATTTCAGGCAGACTGTATTACAATTTGTATAGGCAGCGATTTAATCAGCACTATCTCCTCGCTCCTCTCGCCAAAACTGATTAGACAGGTTTCGCGGGAGAGAAGTAGACGCCACAAATCTACTAAAAAATAGTTATTATTCGTGGATTACTAGACTACGAGCAGTCTCTCTTTTTCCTTGGTCCATCGAGCAAATCGCCCGAGACACGCAAATGACCACGCGCGTGACTGAAGGCGCGAGACGGGAGAAAGAGAGACTGCTCGCAGTCTAGTGGATTACAATCTTCTTTATTACAGTTAAGAAGCATTTGAATTTTGTCGGCTGCTACTCGTTCGCAGAAGAACTTAAAACATTACGATAATAGACCAGGGGAAACGTTACGTCTACTTGAACAATTATGTCAACATTGCAATTGATTCAAGTCATCAGTATGGTGTTTTGGGTACGGGTGAGGTACGAGGAGAGGCGGCTATACTTGCTGTCTACATTTAAACGTGCTAGAAAAAAAATTAGTGAAGATTGCATACCTCCATGGTTTAGGACTGTGGTCACCAAAGCTTGCTAAACTGATAGCTCTTTCACTGTAATGGCCACACCAGTTCTGCAAATAAACACAGATCAAAATACGGGAACATCGATATAACGAACCTCTACATACGAAGTCCTCGATATCACGAACGATGTTTTCTGCCCCACTCACAGTGAAACGTATGGAAAAGAACTTCAATATAACGAAACCTCGTTTTAGCGAACATGTTTGGCCAGTCCCTTGGGCCTTCGTTAAATCGAGGTTCCTCTGTAATAGCTACCATATTACTTGAAAGAGCGCCGCCTCCAAATAGGCGGAGCCACTTCTCAGCATGCAACCGTTTTACATAGGCTATGCAGCGCTTGACGATTTCCAGCACTTTGAATATCCCTTACTGCAAATTGGACTGATTAGAAGGGGACATAGACCTTAAAACTATCTTTCATCGCGTTTCTTTTACTATATTTTTCAAGTTTGAAGGAACGAAAGAAATATTATCTTTCGTAATCTTTCATTACGAGATCTTCAAGATGCATGGGAAAAGGTTCTCGGTATTTGGTCGTATCTACCAGGTTCAATGCTTAATTTTGTTGCGTTAAAATCATACGTCCTTCACTTACCCTCGCAAAACTAATAAAGAAAACCTGTTCATTGGTCAACATCATGCCCGGAAGTCTTGGTTCTTCCCAATGCTCCTTAACCCACTTCCGGTAGGCCTGAAGGGAAAGCAAAAATAAGATCATATCAGTAAAGATTCTGGGAAACTTTCCTCCTACCCATCCCCCTATGCCAACATTTTGACCTAAATGAGACATGAGGATTAACTTTGCGTTAGACGAGGGACGTGGCAGTTTCCCTCCGAAAAAAAGCCGATCTTCACGCGCGAGGCGTAGCCCCGTTTCTGTAAAAAGTTGGAAACCTAAGGACGCAAGAAAATTTGGAGGGAAAGAAATTAGGGTAGAAAAGGTATAAGCCAGTTAGTCAGCTTATGAGCTCTCAGAGGCACCTTGATTTGGTGGGATTGTGGACTTTCTGGTATTTGTTTACCTATTGTTCACTTCATATATTACTTTTCAACAACCCCCAAATCCTATAATATTTCCCAATTTTCCATAATTTTAGACAACCCCTCCATTGTTTTTTTCATTAAAATCATCAAAAATTTCTTAAACCTTTATTGAACCAATGACTACGACAAGGAGTCATTTTTTGATTGACTGAAATCTTGGCTAGATTTGGAAGAAAAAGGACAGAAATTAACGATGAGCAAGGTCCTTGACCAGTACTCCTCCTCCCACACGTATAGATTTGAGGATATTGCGTCATAGCTGAAAGTTTATTGGTTCAAAGTTTATTGCTTTGAACAATTCACTCCCCTCTCCTGACCCTGTTATCAAAGGCTATAGTCACACGTTGTACTACACAGGATAGTTTTTTTGGCGCCAAGACACGCTATTCAGAATAGCATGAGCAGGAACCTCCCAGGGCAGCACAAGTCGTTCACACATCGAACATCTTGCCGACGCGGTTGGCCGAGAGGGATTGGTGCACTAAATTCCAGTCCTCGCTCTCGATTATTCATTTCCGTCTCAGTGGGATCCAGGCCTCGCTCCTACTTATTTACTTCCGCGACGGGCCGAATATATAGGTGTTCACTATGCACCAAAGTATGGCAGAAAACTTATCCGTTATGTGACGCTTCACTTTTGAGATCGGTGCGGTGCAGCTTCGCTCCGTCACAGAAATCGCGCCGCCACAACCGTTGTTGTGTGTTAAGAGAGGTCCTATACAGTATTATTTTCATGAACAAAGCCAAAGTTGCAGTGATTCCAAGATTGTATTCAACACTGGCTTAAAATGACATCTTTGAATGGGTGAAGAGAGGCGGGAAAATCCCTCAGGCTAGAAAAAAATGAGCTTATTAGTGTATGTAAGTAAGAAAGAAGGGCTTTGGGCCAAGAGGTTTTAAAAAATATTAAAATTTTGTCAATTGGGAAAAGGGGGGAAAAAGAAGAACATTATTTTGTTTACCGAATCATCTTAACATTTATACATCACACATACCTCAAGCGCCACTGTCACACCGCCGCCGTCTGCAATATTTTCCGATAACGTTTTCTTGCCATCTACCTGAAAAGGTGTTGTATCTGGTTAAAAGCTTACATCGCATTCGGAATTATTAATTTCATCGTTTTACTAGGCGAATATTAGACGAATAGTAGGCCGAATGTCAGGCAAATATTACACGAATGTAAGGCGAATATCAAGTAATGTTAGTCGCACGCTAGGCAAACGTTAAGGAACTGTCAAGTGAATGCGCCATTTGTATCTTATATATTAATTCATGAATTTGCTTTAGATGGCAAAAATAATAATTTACCTTTCTACCATAAAAGGTAAAGTTTGAATATTGATCCACTAAACAAACGGATTTTCGTTCAAAATTAACCAACGTCTCATTACTCCACCATTTCCTGCGATTTCCTTTAATATCGAACATTTTACCTGCAAAAAAATTACGTGTTAAAAATGACGTCACCAACACCGATGTATTTAACTGGAGCTTCGCCTTTAGGCTTGGCAAAATTTATATATTCAAAATTCACAATAAGACTGAAATAGCCGAAACTGATTTCTAAACATATAGCTTGATCTCACCTTTGTTATCAAATCCGTGCGTTAATTCATGCGCCATGACTCCTCCAATAGCACCGTAGTTAATTGCACTAGCAAACAGGAAAAAAATTCAATAATCAATTTGCTGTATAGCTGACCACTGGTGTAACTTGTCGAAAGTTACACAGCGGTGCTGTGTTTCAGTGGCATTGGTCTTCTTCACAAATCCACCGATATATATTTCCATGAATTAACTGCACAGTAATTTTCAAGGAGTTATAATGACTCCTCTATGCTAGTGGGGCTACTTTAACTCCTTACAGTGGAGTTATTTTTTGAGGAGTTATTTGAACTCCAAAAAGGAGTTTAAAGAACTCTTTTCCAGGAGTAAAAGTGAGCCCAGATATTGAGGAGTTAAAATAACCCCCAAAAAGGAGTTATCCTGTACCTAAAATTTTTACTCCACGTTCAGAGTTAAATTAACTCCAAAAATAGTAAAAACAACCCATGTAAGGAGTAAAAATACTCCCATTTCGGAGTTATTTTAACTCCAGACTGGGAGTAAAAAGAACTCTTTTTCACGAGTAAAAATGACCCCAAACTCGGAGTTAAATTAGGAGTTAAAGTAACCCCCAAAAAGGGGTTATCCTGTACCTTAAATTTTTACTCTATTTTTGGAGTTATAATAACTCCCTAAAAATTACGGTATGACTCACATCATCACAGACCCAGGCCTAGAAAGCCCAACAAAAAATGGCATTGTGTGGTGGTTTGGAAGGAAGAAAGTAATGAAATACTAACTGAGTTAAAGGGAGTTATACTCAAATTTTACGTTTTATTAAAGAGGTTTTATTCAAAGCATGAGCCCAACATGCTTTCTTCACTCTCATAGCTCATATATATATAATCCACTTACACGTTTTCTTCATAAAGCCAATAACATTGCGAAGTTATTTACCTATCAGGTTAATAACCAGAGTTTAACACCGAGCAACTGACACACACAACTCATCATATTCCACTGATTTATGAAATGACTCCTGGGGTCAAACTATTGGCTCTTTTGATATGTTGTCTTATTTACTACGCTTTATAAACCAGTCGGTTATCACGTTGCTTGTTCAAGCACGCCAGGTCGGATGCGGACTCATTCTATAACTCATTCTTTCAGTTTTATTTCAATAATGATTTTTGAAAACTTCAAGATGATTTTATTCATCATACCTTGGATACCGCACATTGTAAAATGGAGGTTGCAAAATCGCCGCAGGAAAGACTAAAATGAAGTATAAAATCACTAATTGTCATGATGGCCATCATTATAGCGTACAGTGAAGAGGGAATCACAGCGAAGAGGGAATCACAGCCCGTGGGGTTACTTGCGTTACTTTTTGCTGGGGGTATGTGCCGCTGGCTTCTCGGAACCCCTACCACAATATAGTATATTCTGTGGCCAAATATAGAGCCCATCTTAGTCACTTTTGGGAAAATGTAATTTTCGCGATCCCAACTTAACTAGGTCATCTTGAAATGAATTGACACATTGGTTAAAGTTACAATCATCCCATTTATAAATCCTACCTACCTTAATTTTCTGATCCCCCTTAATCCCGAAAAATGTGCGATCCCATTCTAGTAACTTTAATGAAATTGTAACCCCATTTTAGTCAATCCAGTCGTGAAAATGATATGAGATCCCATCCAGCGGCACGTCCCCATTAGCCTGTTACCAGGAAGTGCCCTCCCCCGGGAATCACAACGAGAACAAGGCCGGTTTGATACGCGAATCTTTGCGGGGAAAGTTTTGGGAACAAGGGTGATAATAATATAGGCATTATGCAGATTGAAGTTTGTAGGTATTTCTTACCCACTTTGTTTTCTGGATATGAATAAAACGCATTCGTCTCTGTTGGAAGTTTTTGCCATCTAAAATGAAAAAAGAACGTTTTATTTTCTTGACTGGTTTCAATACATTTCAATACTCAAATAATTAAGGCTTCCACTAGAGGGGGGGGGTGGGGTTGGGGGGGGGGGGGGTGGGGGGGGTAGGTTGCACAAATAAAAAACATTGACATATAGAGCATTTTAACATTCACTTGGCCCGCAGCTGTGCAAATTTATTACAACAAAAGAAAGTTTCCGATAAGAAAGACGTTCAATTCCTACAGGACTGGTTTGGTGCATCAACATTGGCGACTATAATGGTTTGATTGCTGTAGGACACCGATACGGTGGACGTGAATGCGCTATAGCTGATTTTTAACCCATGTTTTTGATGCCCCTAAACGCCGTTGACATGTGGATGCAAGGCTAAGACGAAGAAAACAATCATTTTCGACAATTTTCGGATATGTGGGACGGGGACTTATTCCTTTTGGGTCCCTAGTATGGCCGACGTATAACGCCATGTGAAAACGGTCCATTAGTCGAGTTACAAATTTTCAACAGGATGCCTTACTGAGACTTGTCCACTACAGTTCCAGCTTTTGCAAGAATTCTAAGATTTGTGTTCCTTTCTGCCGAGACATGATTATCAAAGAATGTTTTTGGATCTATCTTGACCTAAAAAGTAGATCAAACAAATTCCTAATGAGTAAAGGCATATAGCAGTAATACTGTTATCATCATCATTAGAACTTTATATTTACTAAGATTAGGTAATGACAATACTTGTCAAGTTATAGTCAAATATGCCCATCTAATGTTAGAAAAGAGAAAACAGATCTTGAACCAAAAATCTAATTCATTAATTTACAGTATTGTTATCGTAATAGTATATATTGTATTTAAGCAATAGAAAACGTTTTCTGTGTTCGCATAGCCTAATATAAACATGAGAGGGGTCGGGAGCATTCGAGACAGTTATGCAAACCCTCGACTTCGTCTCGGGTTTTCATAACTGTCTCGAATTCTCGCAACCTCGCACTTTCCATGAAGTATTCTCTATATACTATACTACACTACACCACACTACCCTGTGATTATCATTATCATTATCATTATTATTATTATTATTATTATTATTATTATTATTATTATTATTATTATTATTATTATTATTATTATTATTATTATCATCAGTCCCCAAGGTTTTCTTCCAAAAGGTTACTCCCTGGTACCAGGTGACCTCCCGGTACCTTAGGTAACCATCACCTTTCTTATAATTCTTGTAATTCTTGCTGTTCCCCTTAAAACTTTTGTAATGGCTGCATTCTTCCGTCAAGTCCTGCTTTTTTTAGATACCGATGAATATCAACAGAGCTCAGGGAAGGCCCAAGTATTCCGTACTTACTGGCAGAAATGCAATCAACAAAGCTACATACCTCCTTATATTGCTCTGTCAGGTACTTCACGTCCACAATATAGTCAGGATATCCAATATTCTCAGAGAGATATTCCGCCTGCAAAATACTGGAACTGTTTATAGGCATATTCGTGTCAAATTCCACGTGACCTCAAACGAGTATTGGTCTCGGGGGGTGGTGGGCGGTGGGGGGGAGGTACTTACGTTAATTTTCCTGGTTATGTGCCGCTGGCCTCTTAAAAGCACTACCACAATATGACGGTCTTTTCTGTGGCCAGATAAACCCCATCTTAGTCACTTTTGAGAAAATGTAATTTTCGCGATCCCAACTTAGGCCCGGTTCAGACGCCGACCTTTTCATGAGCCGAACCTAATACCTTGAATTAAGTACATGAAAAGTTCGGCGTCTGAATCAATTAGGAGCGTCTGTTTCAATGTGGAAGGGCTCAGCCGTTCTTTTCGACTAGCCCGGCCGGGAATTTTGCATTTGGAGCGACTTTGGAACGGCTTTGATTCAGACGCCGAACTTTTCATGTACCAAACCTAATGCATAAATTATTATAACGTATTTTGTTAGCGGGTTGACCGAAGTGAGCATTTTCCTCCTTTTAAATTTAGTTCAGCTGCAATTAAGATCGGCGTCTGAAGCTATTCAGCCGTTCTTAATAGTTTGGGTCGGCCTTAATTCGAATTAGGCTCTGCTCATGAAAAGCTCAGCGTCTGAATCGGGCCTTAGTAACTTTCTGTTTATGCATCTACTTTTAAAGCCTTTTAGCTAGGTCATCCTGAAACTAACTGACAGATTGGTTAAACTTAACGAAGTAAAAATCGTCCCATTTTAAAATCCCTACCTACCCGAATTTTCTGATCCCCCAAATCCCGAAAATGTGCGATCTCATTCTAGTAACTCTATTGAAACTGCAACCCCATAATAGTCAATCAAGCTGTAAAAATGCGACCCCATCCAGCGGTACATCCCCATTGGCCTATAACTAGAACTAGAAAGGCCCTTCCCCCCCCCTACTCCCGGGTATTGGTCTTTTTGAGGCTGTTGACACTGTACCGGAAGGCTTTTGCGCCGGCAAGAAACCCATACTAGATATGGCTTCAGTTTACGCACAAGAACAGAGCGAAGATGTGCCGCGCCGATTACATATCGGAGAGGTTCTGTGCCGCATTTAAGTGTAGTGTGAACCGGTATTAGCCTGCGAAAACATCCGTTCCTCCTCGCTCTTCGCCGCTGGGGACGTTTCGCGCGGAGGAACGTCTGCGACTCAGCGACAGAAATTCCATACTGATGACGTAAAATCTGTCCGGAATCCGGGCAGAAGGCTGATTGGTCAACGGAGTGGTTACATTGTTTTAGCTATTGTTTACGAATGACAGTTTTGACAGACAAAAGACAAAAGGCCACAGAGGACAAATGTAAATGCGAAGAATCTCTAACAAAACAGTCAATATTTGTGGAATATAGTCTTCTCTAGAAGAAGTATTAGAGTTTTGCTGGAGCTCTTTGGCAGATGAACACAACACTTTACCAAAGTCGACCGGAAAACACAAAAACTTGGACAAATTTATATTTGGAACCCCATGACTACCGGAATTATTATGTAAACATTGATTTGCGTCATCAGTATGGAATTTCTGCCGCTGAGTCGCAGACGTTCCTCCATGCGAAACGTCCCCAGCGGCGAAGAGCGAGGAGAAACGGATGTTTTCGCAGGCTAAACCGGTATTCGGACTGTAGGGGAACTAAATAGGCCGCAACGAGGACTGGAACCTACTGAGATTGGAGTAAATATTCAGGCTTGAGGACTGGGATTTAGAGCACTAAACCCTCCGTGCTGAGGCACAATGTTCGATGTGAGTAAACGACTTCCTCCAGTCCTGTAACGCTGCTGTTCACACCATACCGGATTACGTTTCTTGATGGCTCGAAAAGCTATCCGTTATAGTATGAACATAACCTGTGGTTGTACAGGTTGTGTTGTGGTTGAACGGTTCGGTGTTGCGGCGAATAGGTCATTTTCATGACAGCGACATTTGACTACAACTACCAAAAATCATTTTCGTTTCTCGCATCCCTGTCTTCTTTCATCACTATCCTGAATATCATTTTCTCTTCCAACCGCATCCGTGCCCAAATTTTGACACATCGTGCTCCCCCTGATAGCAATCAAATTTCGTATCGCTTCAGCGTCTTCTCGAATCTCCAACTGTATTTTGATCAAATCCCGAACAGTGGAAATAATCTTTCCAGACGCTGTGACTAACGCTTACAAACGCTCTTACCTTAAGTTTGGCTGCTTTCTTTGTCTCGTCATCCATCCAGTCTTGTCTCATTAGGATATCAACAAAGGCAGCTCGAACGTCTGCAGTCATATCCATTGCCTATACAATGATTTTTAAAAATTTCATTTTGATAAATCTCGTTATAATGGAGCTAATCTGCAACTAAGTAGTCTCTAATTATATTCCAGTTTAGTGAAGGGAGTTAAAAAGGGTCAAGCAACCATATTTTTCGTCGATAACCCGTGAAGTGATAACTGATAAACTTGAGGTAGACGCTTCGCTCGTTTTATCCCCCTCTCCCTATCAATGGTCCGTTTTAAGGGTATTTAAAGCCAGTCAAAGCTACACAGAAAGGAGAGAATTTAAAACAAGGATGTGATGTCACCGGGGATCGTACTCGGAACCTCGCGCACCCAAGGCCACGCACTAACCAACTGTGCCACCCTTGCTCCTAGTGCCCGCGCGCAAGCGTCGAGCGTCAAGCGCTTCTCCCGCGCCCTCAATCACGCCCATGGCCATTGTCGTCTCTTGCCTGCTTCGCTCCACGGACTAAGTTTCGGTATCCAGGAAATTTTTGCTTGTGGAATCCGGGATCCTGAACTTTGGGATTCGGAATACAACTTACGGAATCCGGAATCCCACGAATGACTGAAATCCAGAATCCAAGTTTTACTTACAAAGAATCTAGAATCCGGAATTCACAGCGTCGGATCTAGAAATCCAAGACTGTCTTGGATTCTCTTACATGGGCCGATGTGGAGACCACTATATCCGAAACGCGAGAAATGAAGACCCCTATCGCAGCTAGACAGAACATCTTATTGTCTGTTTACCTAGAAAACCGTCTGTTTATAGTCTGTTTAGCAAACTTTTTAAATGGTAAACTCTAAATAAGTAAATAAATAAACAAATGAACGTTCACATGCATGCGTTACGTTAATCACAAGTCGCTCTCACCGTTTTTCTGCTGTCTCCGTAAAATTTCTGATCAAGAAAAACTTTTGAAACAGGTACTCCAAATTCGCGCATTGTTCTCATCTGACATATCATTTTGTCGTCGCTCTCACTCCAGTGGTTAAATGCTTGAATGTAATAAGATTTAAACAGCTCTACAAAGTCGCTGCTCAGAGATAGATATTTTGACTTAACGACTCTCCACATGACGTAATTGGCAACAGTCCTAGAAAAAGGAAAATAGTAATAAAAGAGATCCAATGTTTACAACTAGAGGATCTTCGTCCTACGGTTTTTGCAGTTAATTTAATCCTTTATTAACAAAAAAAGCGGACAACTGTAACAACAATGATAATGATAAAGATAATGACAATAACGATGACAATGACGATGTGGGTGATACTGATGATAGTGACGATGCTGATGCTGATGACGATGACGATGACGATGATAATGATAATTATAATGATAATGATAATGGTAATGGTAATGAAAAAAATGATAATGATTATGGTAATGATTAAAATAATGACAATTATGATAATGATGTTGATGACGATGACGATTACGATGACAATGGTAATGATAATGATAATGGTAATGATAAAAATAATGATAATGATAATGATAATTTTGATGATTAACGATGATGATGATGATGATGATGATGATGATGATGATGATGATGAAAAAATAAGGTTGTCGCTTGTAATAGATCGAAAAGAATGTGATCAAAATATAGACCTTCAAATCCGCTGTTGTAGTGCCTTATAAGACATACCTTTTAGGGGTTATTTTCAGTAATTTTACCAGGTTTTTCAGATACTCCAATGCGTAAACGACGATTTCCGTTTGGTCAGTGACTTTAAATTGATTCTCCTCCATCATACGTTTGAAATAATCAGCCCAGTTAATCTAGAATATGGGGCAAGAAATATTAGCGACACGAGGGAACGAACTCTTATTTATTTAAAGGCTCAAAGTTATAATAATAATAATAATAATAATAATAATAATAATAATAATAATATAATAGTAATTTGCTATAGCGCCTTTTAACATATAGATGATCAACACCTCGTTACGTACTGCCGAAGTTCCCAGTGATTAGAAATCCGCACGGGTCATTCCACTCTTTAAAAAGGGAAAGGCTGATGAGATGGACAATTATCGCCCGATTTCCATTTTACCTGTTCTATCTAAGGTTTTAGAACGGGCTGTACATATCCAACTCTACAAATATCTCCAGCAAAACAAGATCTTGAGCCCTTATCAGTGCGGGTTTCGGAAGTGTCACTCGACAGAATTCGCTGCTCTTAGTTTTTCTGATAATATTCGTAGGAACATGGACCAAGGTCAATTAACTGGTGCTGTGTTTATTGACCTTCGCAAAGCTTTCGACACTGTGGATCATGCGGTACTTCTGGACAAGCTTTCCAATTTGGGGATTTTGGATAAAGAGCATGGCTGGTTTACGGATTACCTGTCGAACCGCACCCAAGTTGTGGAGTTTCAAGGGGTGACTTCTGCTTCGGAAGCCGTCTCTACTGGTGTAATGATTTACCTGAAGTAGTGTCCGATTGCAATATTCTGATGTACGCTGATGACACTGTTTTATACTGTTCATCCTCTCAAGCCTCTGTCATTCAAGACAAGCTGAATGCAGAACTGTCTAAGATTGATCACTGGCTTTCTTTTAATAGTCTGTTTGTTAATGTAACAAAAACCGAAGCTATACTTTTCGGAACCGCCCCTAGATTATCTGCTGTTAACTCTTTTTCTATTACTTTAAATAACAATGTAATTAAGCGGGTTTTTCACTTCACTTATCTAGGTATAGTTTTTGATGACCGCCTTAGCTGGAACGAGCAAATAAAGTACCTAATTTCGAAGGCGGGAAAACGCGTAGGAATGCTCGGCAGGCTTCGCAGAAGCCTCACTAGAGAGAGTGCAAATGTAGTGTATTGTAGTCTAATTAGGCCAATTTTAGAATACTGTGTAAGTGTGTGGGGCTGTTGCGGGGAAGGTCGTAAACAAGACCTTGAAGCCCTCCAAAACCGGGCTGCTAGGATAGTGGCTTGTACTGTGCGCAGCAAGCAAGCATTGGACGTTCTGAAATGGCCCACCTTGGAGGAGCGCCGACGTCAATCTGTTTTTAAACTCGTTAAGAACTGCCTGCAAGGTCAATGTCCCCAGTATTTTAAACAATATTTTAAACGTAATAATACAATCCATGCGCGCTACTAGACAAAGCAACCTCTTACATCCGCCTGCTGTGAGAACTGAAATTGCAAAAAGATCCTTCTATTATTATGGTTGCACTCTTTTTAACGAATTATCTTATTGATATTCCGTGTTTTACATCTTTTAATCTTTTAATTGAAAATAGTTTTCTATTTATATTATTACCTGTATTAGTGTAATGTTTATATGTTCAGTGTGGTTTTTGTGCGTTGTTGCTCAGGGCTCCCATTGATAACAGACAGCTTTTTGCGTCTGAAGGGGCTACCCTGAGCGGTATAAATTAATAAAGGTTCTTCTTCTTCTTCTTCTGCATGCTCTAAATACTCGTTAAAATTTTTAAAATGAATCTGTAACTAGACAAAACCAATAAAAGGAAAAATATTAATAAAAAATACATATCAAAATAAAAACAAATTAAAATATATATGAAACTAGGTAAAAGCTAGTTTAAAAAGATATGCCTTAACATGTCTCTTAAAAGCATCCAGTTATTCGATTTCAAAGATATGCGCGGGAACGCTGTTCATGAAATCGAATCACTAGGCGCTAAGAGACATGTAAAGACACATCTTTTGTAATAAAAGACCAACTGCGAGAATACTCACAAACGCTCCAGTATACTTCTGTAGTTTTGATATAGTTAGTTTCCTGTACGCCTGCTCAAAGCGTCGCATCATAAAAGGAGGCGTAGAAATCTAAGATAAATAAAAAGAATCGGTTTAGCTGATAAAGGGTTTAACGTTGAGAATGCTTTCTTAGGTTTTCAATCAAAGGGTTTAATTGACTAAATCAACTCCGTCGATATAACCACATTTTTGTATCTAACATAATAGATTATCGTGTGGCATGAAATTTTTGCGGGTTCTAATTTTTGCGATTTTTCCAGCGATCCGCAAAAATAAGTTCCAGGAAAATAAAAATTACCGCAAACATTTTTCCCGCAAAAATTTACTCCAGAGTAAATATTCTCTATAACTTAAATTCGCTACACAAAACCTTGCCTCTTTTATTCGGAAACCAAACGATATACAATGAATAACTGGTTTTACATAGGGTACGTATACCGTAGTTTTGTTTGAAAATATGTCTTTCTATTGCACGTACTTACCAAAAAGGAAAATATTATCAATGCTGTGTCCTGGGTTCTTTCTGAAAATCGCAAAAATTACTTCCCAGCGAGAAAAACCAATCTGTACTGTTCGCAAAAATTGGTTCCCACAAAATACAAAAAATGTCCAATCCGCAAAAATAAACTCAGGCAAAAATTTCGTGCCACACTTTAATCTTCAATTTCATAGGTTGAAAGACGAAGAAAGAAACCCCCAGGGGTATACTCAAAAACGTTTTATACGGGGAGGCTCCGCCCCGAGGTCCAGCCCCTAGTGCCCTTTTATATATACCATTTTTGACAGAAAGATACCCCGTGTACATCCCATATACCTAGTTTAGAACTTTACATCCCTTAATTCTAACTGCTGTAAATGCACTATCTTTAAAATATGGATAGATCTCAAAACCAGAACGAGTGAGATCCTTACCCTTTCATATACCCGAAGCCTGCATGAAAAAGGTACCCCTTTCGGGTAGAACCTCCCCGTATAGGTCATTATTACGAGTACTCCCCCCCTTCCCCCGCGAGAAAAACAGTAGAACTTTCAGTCGTTAAATGTAGCTGCTGTTCATAGGTCTCCATACCTTAGCCAATTCTTTTTCAAACTCGAACGTTTTCATTAAATCATCCTCAGATCCTTCCACTGCCCCAAGCTTCTTTGTCAAGTTTCTCATGAGGTCTTTAAACGCTTCACGAATCTGTAAGAACAACATTTGTCAAGTAGCTCGGTAGTGGTGGGGGGGGGGGGGGGTGACTACCATATGGAAACTTCATGAATGCTGGTCGTCTCGTTTTCCGGTGAAAAAAGCTGATTTTGGTCTCACTTGGGGTGTTAATTACGGAAAGCTAACATTTTTTCCCATAAAACTATCGCTTAGGGATGTACGTAAATACAGTCAAACTGTGTTGGTGATCTCCTTTTAACAACAAACAAACGCCGAGCCACGCCCGATTTGGTCTCTTGTAGAAGGGTAGCACCACCATCTCTTTTAATAGAGAATCTTCCAGGGACTCGCAGACTGATCAGCAGAACTGTGCTTAGTCATAAAAAGCGCCATTTACCAGACCAAGTTTACCTTACCTTAAACAAGTGCTATTGTTTAGATTCAAATTTGTTGGTTGCAATTGCTCGCTCGTTTGTTTTTCGTATAAATTGTTCCTCGTGAATTGCGCATGCGTCACCTGCTGCTGGAGGGGCTGGACGCATGCTTTTCGCGTGCGTGACGACGTAGCGCTCGAAAGTCAGATTCAAATTGAGAATATCTCAAATAGAAAATGAGCAGATAAAAACAGCTCAAAACAAATGTTATATGGATAAAAAATTGCGTGAAACTACTAATTTAGGTGTAGAAATAATGAACAGTAAACGACAAGTAACGAGGAAACTTGGTCACGTGGTACACAATCGCGTTTGCCGTTTGACGTAAACTTGATGCTTAACTTCTCTAGTGACTCGTTTTGACCAAACATAGCCTGCGAGAACGTGCCAGTAAGCTCTCTATCATAAAAAAGGACAGAGTCGAATGTCACACCCCTTCTTCTCCTGCTTTCGCGTCTCGCGTCCCGCGTCCCATAGTACTCCGTCGCTCATAACCGTTCTCCCCCCTTCGTGATTCTCCAATTCGCCATTTGCGCATCTCCCATAATACACCTTGTTTGCACCCCCCCGCAAAAAAAAACTTTATATCACCTTGGTTTTTTGTTTCTAGAAGGTATGACAGTGGTTCCAAGAGAAGTTGAAGATAATGCTTATGCAGACGTATGTGTGTGGGGGGGGGGTATTCTTTTTGAAAAGTACATTTTGTTTCTTTGCGCTTGCCACTTCAGCAGTAGAAATTCTCATTCTTACCCTGTGGCTTTCCGTATCGTTGGTTAGATGCTGCCTTCTTGACATTGCAATACTGGACTCTCTCATCTAGAAAATAAAAGAATAAGATCCGCTTAAAACACCAAGAAACGGCTTCCTTGAGCTACTGAACCTCCTCTCCACTTAAATCAACGGCAATTCGTCATTTTTCAAATCTTCGGGCTTTCTATTTTAATGGGAATGTCATCTCGGTCAAAATTACATTGACAGATTCAATTTGAGTCGCTTACTTTGCAGCGACCATTGTTTTTTAAACATTCCCGCGTACCTTTACCACAGTTTTTTTTCGCGCGTGACGTTATCATGCAAGTGGGTTGTTTGGTACATTAAAGAGGGCCTAGATAGGTGGGTCAGCATAGCAGCTAACACTAAAATCAGGAAAATATCGCCGTTCATTTAAGTCAATTCTGTGCTGTAGTCATTACTTAGTGCTTTCGCCCATACACAACACGCTCCTGTAGATTGATGAAAATGTCAAACAAATTCCACCAGGGAGGACTAACCATAATACTTTCCTGGCGGGTTTTTGCAGGCATGACATTAAAACTTGGAAAAAGTTGACCCAGGTCTTTTAAGCTTAAATCTATGTCCATTCCTGTCTTACGTCGCAACAGACAACAGAAAACATTTTCAGCGCCTAAACATACCGTCATAATATACTGGGAACTGTTTTTGTTATCAATAGCTACAGTCGTGGTAAAGAAGATCGGTAAAGCCAGATATTTGTGGATCCTGGCAAGATTTGTTATTAGTTCCCAGTCTTCTTCCTTCCAGCTTTTATCAGTGATGCTCCATGATCCGTACTGCTGGATTAGTCTTTCAAGAGGCTTTCCTTTCAATTTCTCAATCTCGTCCTTGTCCAAGCAGGACTCGTAATAAGCCAAAGCCTTCCACACAGCTTCTTCCTAAAACCAGTAAAGATGATAAGCGGGATGTTGGAGTTTTCGTGCGAGAGGAGATAGTCGGCTTACCATAGGCACGTTGCCTAGCTACAATCTTGGACAGAAGGTGTTAAGAATTTTGTACTTTCTAACCCACAGGGAGCCTATCTTGCGGATTGGTACCATTAGGACCCCTCCCTTCATTTCATTCTGGTCAATCTTGTTCAGTCGGGGGCAAAAATGATCCAGGGGGACTTCAACATTGTTTTTCTTTTTCTTGGGCTAGGGGGGTGGGTGGGGGGGAGGGGGGGGAAATATTTGTAATTGCCGGTGCTTTAAAGAGCTTTATCTTGAAACTACCTATACTAACGTCCATTTTTTTTTAACAATTTACAGTGGGGCCAAAGCACCCCTCAAATGTTGCATGAGTGCTAAATTTACGTATCTCTTACGATTTTTGTCATTTAATTTGTTAACCAAACTTGCTCGATAAACTAAGATTTATGACCGAAAACTTTAATTTTCATTTAAAATTCGTGGTAAACTTCTGCGCTTTCCAGTCAGGGCATTGCCTTTTCTTACTCTTCTCCAAGACAATAATTCTTCTATTTTTGCTAGCACAGCATGAAAAATCAAATTTACGTGAGCGTAATGACAACGTAAAGTCAGCGTATAGTTGAATTTTACACAACTTTACGCTTCCTTTACTCTACGTAAAGTTCAGCTTTACAGCACCTTTACGCGTACATATAAAGCTGGCGTAATGAAACAAAAACTTTACGCAACACCTTTACGTTTTGCGTAAAGCTTGTGTAAACCCTACTTTAAGCTTGTGTAAAGCGAAAATACAAGCTCCTTTACGCCATATATATATACACATAAACACACTGGAAACTTTAAAAATAAAGGGAAATATAATGGTAATCGGTAAATTTTTCTTACCAAACTTTTAACAATCAAAATTTTATTTTTGTCCATGTCACACAAACATTGGATTTTTGTTATGTACTTAATACCGGTTATTTTCTTTGGTTCCCCATCATCTCTCCATAGTATTTACAATCTGTAGCCATGGAGGATTACTCATATATACATTACAAATAATTGTATGAGTAATCCTCAATTCAAGTTTCGACACAAAATAAAATACCCTAATATGTAACAACACTTCAACACACAGTTAAAGGATTAGGCCAGAAATTTTGTTTTCATTCTTCAAAACTGACAACAAAAACGAAAAGTTATAAAGCGTTGAGAACCCAATAGACCTATAGAAAAATAAGAACCCAACTTCAAACTGACATTAGTCATCCCTACTATTAAGTTATAACTTGCATTAATGGAGTTATATTGTTTAACCAGTAGATGAACTTTGAATAAGTAGTAGTTTAAAAAATAGGGTCCCTTTCCGTTTCCAATTTTGCATTACCATAACCAATTTTCAAATTGCCTATCTTTATTTTTACATTTCAAATCCCATGAAAATCGCCAGGTATGCTACATTGTTGTAACTGCAAAAGCTGCAAATACGAATCGCATTCTTTAAGTTTAGACCCGCAAAGAGTGATATTACAAGGTTTTAAAAAACAAAACACACTGATTCTCTAAAACTGAATTTTCTAAATATAACATGATTTATTTCTGTGTTAGCATCTTTGTCATTACATTAAAAATAAAAAAAAGCGAAAATTTTTCCAACACGTAAGGTTTAAATAAGAAGATACAGTGTACATAAACTTTTCAAATGGGTCAAAACAGTCTTCTCAAAATATCCAAAAAAAATCATCTTAACTTAGTATTATACCAAATTAAGATGATTTATAGTTTGAAATAATTATTAGCATTTACATGTAAGGTACAGGGTGTACAAGAAAACTGATGAAGTTAAATTTTGATAAAAAACAGCAACTCTAACACGCAAATTAATGTAAAGGTGGGTCAAAATGGTCTCTTCCAAAATGAAAATATTTAGTATAATTTAGCATAATTCAAATTAAAAGCTTAAACAATTTTAGATAAGAAATAAAAAGACTGAAAGCCTAATACATGTATAACATTGATGGTTTCTTGATTTAGCCCTTTCACTCCCAGAAGTGTTTACAGTCAAACTTAACAACAAAATCCAAATAAACTGATGATGTAAAAGTTAGATGCACAAGGCTGTCACTAAGATTGCAAGTTGCAGGGTTTAAGTGAAATTAGTGAGCGGGACATTGAAAATGTGGAAAGTTTCGTTTCCTCTCAAAACAGCCAAGTATTGGGCTCAAAGTAGCCGATTTAAAGTCTGGTTTATGGCCCTTAGTGACAGCCCTGGAACCACTTTACAAGACTAAGGCTTGTAATTAACATGTATTAATCCTGTTTGCTTTGAGAGGACTTTCTGTCACCAACATCCCATACCAGGCTGATCTGCTGAATAAATAGAAAGCAAGTATTATTTGAGTAAACTACACAGATTATTTGTTGGCTAGTGATAATACACTTAATCGCCACTAAAGGCACAAGTACATGTACAGTAAGGGGTGTTTACATGAGAAAACTCACACCGCGCGAGTCTCATACCGGGATGACTTTTTTTGATTTTGTATCGGGTTTACATTATGACTGAGTCATTTCATATCTCGTTATTTGAAGGTACACTTTATGTTGATAAAATACAAGTGTGATACAAAATAGCAAACATTACGCGTCGCTACCCATTCCAGTCTACCGGCAGACCGATTTCATGCCGAAACGGGTGGTCGTTTCGCATTTACATGATACTGCCATGAGATTTTGTACCAGAGTGAAATTCTCGCCCGGTACAAGAACCGGGTGAACTCACGCTGGGGTGACTCGCGCCTGCATGACATTTTGTGGTGGTATCATGTAAACAAATATAGAGCTATGAGAGGAACCGGAGTGAACTCGCTCCGGGGCAAAAGTTGCCCCGGTGTCATGTAAACACCCCTAAGTTGCCAGAGGACACCGCCTGCTATTACTAATTAAAAATATTTTTTCCTACACTCATGGCCAAATTACTACAATCAGCACAATTTTACTTGACACAGGGTTCCCCACATGCCTCTTTTCACAAACCAAGACTAAAAATTTGAAAAAAATGATAAGGCATTTTCCACAAGTGGTCTAATAACAGTGCAAAACCTGAGTAGCAAATGATTTCAATGTCCACAAATTCACACAACTGAATAAGATTCATCTGACTGTTAAAGATTCAAAATGTTTGACTAGTATGAGTTAAAGGCTTTCCTTAAAGGCAATAATATTTACATTCAGAACCCTACTTGCAGTTGAGTGAAAATCAGGGTAAAATGCTACATGGAAACCCTATAATAATAATAATAATAATAATAATAATAATAATAATAATAATAATGAACTTTATTAAAGTCTCATGTCTTATAACACAGGCACAGTGCCTTACTAGTTGGGGAGACTGAAGCATATATATATGTTAAATTTATTAACAATGGTTTATTATATTATTAGAGTTCAATGTTTTACAATGTATATCTTTTTTTATTTTAATGTATGCATTTTTATAAAAGTATCATCCATTAATATCGTTGTAAAGTGCTATGAAAAACCACTGGATGTACATTATTATTATTATTATTAGAGAGTAAGCAGTGCGCAAAGAAAGTAGTGTCCGATAGCCCGGGGCTAGTGGATTTTGCTATCGAGCTAGTGAATTTTGAACTTAACTTGCCCGATGGGCAAGTGAAGTTTTTTTGAGGAATTCAAATTAACGAAGAACTGTGAAATCGATTCTGCTTATCAAAACGGTTTGGGGGCTAGTTGAAATGACATTTGGGCTAGTATATGCTAGCTTCAGCTTGCCCGAATGGCAAGCTTTAAAAATCACCTTCTTTGCACCCTGGTAAGAGAGAAATTTTCGTATCCACTTGTCCTTCACACAAGCAATACATTAAATTTGGTTGTCCGAAACCTAGAGTTCTTGTCCAAAAAGTTTAGCTTGCAACGGGCATTTAATGTTTTTAATCACATTATTTAATCACATTATTACCCTTGTATATTATTTTTGAATTAAACCTACAACAGAGCTTGTAAAAAAGCAAATGGATGAAACGACTGGCAGTGGAATGGCATAGTTAAATGGAATATTGTTTCTTATCTTTATTTTTCTAATTAAAAATGTGCTTGTCCCACGGACAAGTCATATCAAAGGTTTCCATGTTCGAACTAAATTTCTACCTGTCCCGGACTAAAGTTCCAAATCAATAAACATCCCTAGCCTTCTCATGAGCTTCACCAAAGACTTTCAGGGAAAAAATAGAAACATATAAGCACTTTATTCCCAAAAGTTTCAAATTTTCCTGAAACTTTACCTAATATATTTTTTGGCAAGCTTTAAAAATCACCTTCTTTGCACCCTGGTAAGAGAGAAATTTTCCTATCCACTTGTCCTTCACACAAGCAATACATTAAATTTGGTTGTCCGAAACCTAGAGTTCTTGTCCAAAAAGTTTAGCTTGCAACGGGCATTTAATGTTTTTAATCACATTATTTAATCACATTATTACCCTTGTATATTATTTTTGAATTAAACCTACAACAGAGCTTGTAAAAAAGCAAATGGATGAAACGACTGGCAGTGGAATGGCATAGTTAAATGGAATATTGTTTCTTATCTTTATTTTTCTAATTAAAAATGTGCTTGTCCCACGGACAAGTCATATCAAAGGTTTCCATGTTCGAACTAAATTTCTACCTGTCCCGGACTAAAGTTCCAAATCAATAAACATCCCTAGCCTTCTCATGAGCTCCACCAAAGACTTTCAGGGAAAAAATAGAAACATATAAGCACCTTATTCCCAAAAGTTTCAAATTTTCCTGAAACTTTACCTAATATATTTTTTTCCTTTTTAATATGAAACGTTCAAGGTTCCTAGTTAATGTAACAGGAGTGAAGCCACTTTGCTATTTAAAGCCCTTATCCTCAATCTTGAAAACAATGCCTCCTAATAATAATGTACAGTGTACCCCGTAAATAAAGCAGCCTATTTTCTTTCCTTGCCACCAGGGACATTTCACAAGAGAGACAGTTGTATTTGCAGATTAATAATGGTGTATGTAGACAAGAGAATCCAAAACAGCTATGACTGCTATGACTCTCTTAACAGTCTTATCTTTCACAACTTGTTTCTTTAAATTTTATTTTCCTTTAAACCTAGATTTACTGACGATACAACTATGGTGCAAATAGAACAATTTCTGGTTTCTAACATGACTGTGTGCTTTGCTTCCCAA